CGTGTGACGTTGCACACATACGTGCAAGATTACTTTAGCAACCTTGTGCATATAGTACATGAAATTTTCCATATGAGCACAACCAGATTTGGTTGCAAAGCTTTGGTTAAAAGGTAATATATTATTTACTTTTGTACAATGCAGGGTTAGATTTAGAGAGAGAGAAAAGTACATACATGTAGAAAAAAAAGATTTAAATTTAGACACTCAGGGGGAAGAGAGAGTGGCAGAATGAGAGAAAGAAAGGCAAAGAAAGAGAAAGTGGCAGAGGGAGAAAGGCTGGCATAATGTAGCAGTACCTCACCTCCGTAACATCGCCTGACTCCGCCACTACCTCACCCCTCAGGCTGCTGAAACTCTTGGTCATGCTTTCATCACCTCCAGACTCGATTATGCAAACGCCCTGCTTGTCGGCTTCCCAACTCCTCCCTCCACAGGCTGCAGATAATCCAGAACTCTGCAGCCCGTGTCCTCTCCCGCACCAAACTCTGTGATCCCATCTCGCTCATTCTCACCCGACTCCATTGGCTCCCTATCCTTCAGAGGATCCAGTTCAAGATCCTGGTCTTCACCTACAAAGCCCTGAATGGTCTAGCTCTACCCTATCTCTGCGATCTCCTAAACCCCTACCAACTCTCCTGCTCCCTCCGCTCAGCCGGCTCTGGCCTGCTCCACGTCCCACGACCCACCCGCCCCATCACTGGCGTGAGAGCCTTCAGCCACTCTGCCCCCAACCTCTGGAACTCCATCCCCCAATCACTCCGCCTCACCCACTCCTTAGCCTCCTTCAAGTCCTGCCTCAAAACCCTCCTATCCGACCATGTCATCGGCCACTCCCCTTCCCCTCCCTTCTACCCTCTGACCTCAGCTCGGGTCTGAAATGCCGTACACTGTCCAGCGCCTTGGGACGTCGTCCCGACGTGAAAGGCGCTCTACAAATGTAATCTTGTTGTTCTTGTTACTGTGATTATAATACAATATATATATTAATTCTTGCATTTGATACAGCACATTTCAGGTCAGAAAAACATCTCAAGGTGCTGCATAGAATATACTGAAAATCATATTGACTGTAACTTGTAAGCGAATAAAACAGCTCATTTATGCACAGCAATGTCTTACAAATAGCCATAAAATGAATAACTAATTTTACTTGGAGGATTGTTTGCCAGGATAACAATAGGATAACTCCTGATTTAGGTAGGATTGCAGCCAATTTATATTTTGCATAATTGTCAATTATCCACACGGTTCATCCACAATAAAGTCCAAATAAGTGTGGACATTCAACTTGCCTCTAAATTTCTCATTTGTCAGAAAAAGAATATACCATTCTGCTAATGAATCCTGAAGCTCATTACACTAAACTGCGTAAACACTGCAAATAATGTGGCAAGATTATTGCTTCTGTGCAATCAGTCTTCTGGATTTGTATTTATTATTCTCAATCTAAAATTACAATAGCTCTGAAGCTCTTAAAAAAATGGGTTTATTTTGAATTTTGTTGATGCCAACATCCTTGAATACCCCTACATCACCTTTATATTTCTAGCTGCCATTTTGTATTGTGGAATACAAAAATTGTTTTCAGCATTACCCCTGAAGGTTCCTAAGGAAGCCAGTATTTGTGCACACATATGTATTATATGTGTGTACATATACATAGTTCAGTTCATATGGCATTAATTCTGTATTTGGTAAGTCTATCACAAAATTACACTTTGCTCACACAAAATTTGCTGTTTGTTTCCTTTCTTCTTAATATGAAACAGATATGTTTAATTCCCGCCAATTTTATATAATACTAATCCCTGCATTTGATATAGTGCTTATCACATTGTTGATGCATCTCAAAGCGCTTCACAGAATATATCATAAAGTGAATTGACTGGATATTTTGTGGGCGAAACGTGGCAGCCAATTGCACACAGCCATATCCTGCAAACAGTCGTGGATTGAGTGACCATTTTTTTTATTACATCCAAAAAACGATCCGCCAATTGACTAACAACTGGGTTCCTACTTACTGCTAGGTAAACAGGCGTGCGGAGTAAGGAAACTTGCCTAAGGTTTTGTCCTGGCCAAGAATTGAAACAGGGTCATCTCACTTGCGAGGCGAGTGCTTTGACTAATATGCTACAGGACTCCAAATCAAAAACAAAAATGTTTATTTTGGGTCGTCTGCTCTGCTCCCCTCTTCATATGTGCCATCAAACTCCACAGTCATAGGCTCATATTTTCTCCTAAATTAAACATGAATGTCCGATTGTCACTTTATATGCCCTGGGAGAAAATTATATTGAATTCTAACATGAACAGTTAAGCCAGTATTTAGATACATTCAATTAAACTTACATTTATATGCATAAAAAAACCCTATCAACAGGAAGACATGCCAGGCTTCCTCCAACAGCCCGAGGACATACACTATCGTGGATGGTATTGAGTCGGAGTAAAAGAGTAGCATTGCAACATTTTACGATAGACATTAGCATTTCTGGATGAGTATGGGGGGGAAATTCAGCTCAGTTCCCAATATCTGGTAACCCTGTTGGAACATGTACATGATTTGATAGAACCAAATTAGGTTAATGTCATGGATGAGCTAATAACTATGGAGCCAATTTTCCAAGACCTCATAAAACTAACAATTGACTACAGATTCACAACATACAACCAATTTGTTGTGGCAAACAAAGGTTAAAAAGATTCACAAGAATTTATTCAGCCAATTTATGTGGCAGGGAAAAGGTTAAAAAAGAATAAAACACCACATTTTCCCAGATCAATTTAATGTGCTTACGCTTCCAAGATTTTCCTTCCTTTTTCATTCCTTTTCTTTTCAAACCATTGGTTAACACTAATTCTGTCATGTGCAAAAGCATGGTTCAAGAACAAAAGCTACTTGTATTTGCGCCTAGGTTTGTACCTAAATAATAATTGATAGCAGGAGCATCATTAAAGTGCTTTAAAATAACCCATCTGACTGCTGGCAATCCTGGCAAAGAATATTGCTATTGATGTAATTCCACATCATTTAAATAGCTATCTTTCAGCTCAATTAGATCAATATGTTTTAAAGAATACACAATATGAATTCTGTAGCAGGTACATAAAAGTTGTCAATTTAAACTGTAAAATAACTTCTATTTAACTCAATGTAAAAGCATTTCCAATCCTGCAAAGGTCCTCCCACCACATTGAAGGCAGATATCCATCAGAGAGCTGATAAGGAAACTCTGAGGTTTAGGATATCAGCTGCTGGAAGGAGTTACCTGGAGTCCGAGTTCATGAACATGCCTTTGTACACCCAGGACTTGGAATCCACCTTGATTGGTTTGCAGAGTGGTAAGCAACTGCTGCTCAAGCTCCGCTTTTCCAACTGGTGAAACCATCGCTTAATGGGAAGGGATGTGCGTCCCAGCTATGGGCACGAAGATGGAGGCAATGCTCTCCTACATTTTGTGCTGAGCTGTGTTGCACAGTTGGAAGCTCACAAGGAGATCCTGGTAAAGTGGTGTTTCCTTCGAGCTGAACTGGCTCCTAGGTGACATGTTTAGCAATAGGATTTCAGAATCGAGCCAACCCTTGTGGCGGTCTTGGTCGTCCAGTTCCTGAGCCAGTCTGCAGTACTCCAGGGCACTGCTGATGACAGCCAATTAGTGTGGCTCATTAGCAGGACTTGGTAGGGCAGAACAATCACTGGGGAAAGGATTCTTCCCACTCAGCTCTCGTTAATCCTGCAAGCCAAAGACGGACAAGTAGTGGGAAAGCTTGCCAGGCAATGCTTTCAATTGCAAGCTGTGCAGTGTGCAGCGTTTGGTCACCTTCCTCCCCCTCCCCCTGGCTCGGCCCCGGGATCCGTTACTGTGAAGCGCTCTGAGAGGCCGTCCGGCATGGAGGGCGCTATATACATCCAAGTTGTTGTTGTTAACTGTTTAGACTCCAGCCGTACACTATAATAATATATAACACTAACACACACTCTGGGATCCCCAAGCCTTGGCTCTTGCCAAACTGCACCTAATACACTCTGGAATTAAGTAAGCAGGATACATCCCTCAGGGGAAAGAATGTACATTCCAATAAATATTTTGGGAACTTGCATGTATAATTAAGATACATGAAAATCTGATTGGTATGTATTTCCACATATGTCAGACACTAGGCTGTCAGACGCTAGGCTGACCAAAAAATTACATTTGGAAAATATTAATCCAACTAAATCTACAGGTAATATAGATTTTGTTGTTGCAAATAAAGAAACATTACAATATTTGCACGTATGCCAGATTTTCCAAGTTTGTCTATAAATTAAATATGAACATAGGAACAGGAGTAGGCCATTCAGTTCTTCCAGCCTGTTCTGCCATTTAATTGGATCATGGCTGATCTAGACTTCAACTAATCCTTTCAATTCCAATTTTCCACTTTCTCCCCATATCCCTTAATACCCTGACCTACCAAAAATCTATCAACCTCAATCTTGAAGGTGCGGATGGACCCAGCATCCACTGCCTTTTGGGGGAGAGAATTCCAGATTTCTACCACCCTTTGAGTGAAAAAATGCTTCCTGATTTCACTCCTAAATGGCCTGGTTCTAATTTTAAGACTATGCCCCTTGTTTTGGATTCCCCAACCAGAGGCAATAGCTTCTCTGTATCTACCCTATCGAATCCCTGTATCATCTTAAATACCTCAACCAAATCACCCCTCAACCTCCTAAACCCAAGGGAATACAATCCAAGTTTACGCAGTCTTTCCTCGTAACTTAACCCTTTTAGGCCTGGTAACATTCTGATGAACCTGGGCCAATATATCTTTCCTGAGGAGTGGTGCCCAAAACTGAACGCAGTACTCCAGGTGGGGTCTGACTAACCCTCTGTACAGCTGAAGCATCATTTCTTCCCTTTTGTATCTTATATCTTAATGTTAAAAGTCACATACTGTTTCAGCCAACATAATCTAAATGTTTTACAGCAAGCATCCTTGCTACTTACCCGTCCATATCTATTGGCATAGGATCCTGTGAGCAAGGAGTGAAAAATGATGATTGTTTCATCCAAGTCCCATATGAACACTCGCTGTAAAGAGACGGAGAAATCAATGTTGGCCTCTATACACTGTAAAATGATCCTGCAATCAATATGTAAAACCTGGGGAATTGTAGTTAAGTGCTACTGTGCCATGACCCAGCTTTTTACATTACTCACTAAAGGATTTTAGAGCCAAAACCTAAGACTAGCATTGTCTATTGCTCAGCCTCTTCCCAAATGAGATAACGCTTGTAGATGATATTAATGCTTTGTAGCTATGAGATTGGACTATATAAACTAATTCAAACATTTAACAGATTATGTATCTGGAGAATTAACATTAAAGAAAGCAATCCTCAATAAACTGTATTGAGACAGAATTACAAAAGGATTATTTCATTGCTTAATCTTCATGCACAGACCATTAATTATTCAATCAATTCTGTATTTATTAGTTCCCCCCACATCTTTATGAAGCGTATTTGTTTTTATTTACTTTCAATGGCTAAGTCAATAAGCCAGTCTTACCTCAAGGTCAGAGTCTGGAGGTGGTGAGGGATTAGTGTTTCTCCTGCCTCTACCACGTGATTTTCCATCTGTAGCTCTACGCAATCGATCTGAATCTGAATCTTTAATGGGTGTTGATGGACTGTGGATTGTACCAAACTCTCCTGAAATAAACAAAAATGGCATTTACCTTCCAGCAGAGACATTTTTGAAAATCATTATTTGTAACCTTATAAATTCTGTAAAATTAAAAAGAGAATGCTGTATGTTTATGGAAGATTTATTTCAAGACAAGACACTGAAATAGATAATGGAATCTTGTTACATGCAGTCTGTGGGAAGACGAAAGCGAGTTTCACTTAGTTCATATAATTATGTAGGAAGCAATAAGAAATTTTATAAACATCCTTAAGTAGTTGCATATGTAATAATTAATTGTAGAATACAATGGTTGATAAATGTCACTATGATTATGACAAGTTATTTCATTCATTCCTGTATTTATTTATTATTAGTTTTGAATATGCTAAACAGCAACATCTTATCATTTTTGTCAATTGATAAACAGGAGTGAAGAGGGAAATCAAAGAATACTAAATTGCTTAAATGCCTGTCAGGCAAAATATCATAGAAAAACAAGTTAAAAGATATTTACAGTATTATATTTTGTTTGCGTCTGTTAAAATATCCTTCGTTACAATGTATTTTCACTTATAATGCAATTGGGATTATGGACCTCCAATATTTACTTACCCAAAAGAATCCAAAATGCTTGCATTGGCTATGTCGGCACTTTAAAATGCTTGCCGGCACGTGGGAAGCCAATGTTCTGGGTCATCAGGTCACTGTTTCTGCCACTTCCTGTATATTGTGCAGTGCAAGTATCAGTTTGATTTACTTTTTTGGGTAAGTAAATGTTGGCGCCCAAACCAAATTGCACTTAAAGTAAAACCACAATATAAAGGAGATCTACTGTACCAGGAATCACATTTTTTTCCTTTCCAACCAACTAAAGGTGATGCAGATCTGTAACATCAGCAGTGACCTGATGACCTGGAAGTTGGACATTTTAGTTTTCTTCCTGCCACTTGGGAATTTTGATGCAACAAATGAACCGGCTGTACTCACATACGCAGTCAATGTGGAATCTCTAACTGGTGATCATACGCTAGCCTTATAGAATACAATGGTTGACAAATGTCACTATGATTACGACTGGCCATTTCATTCTATCTTCCTCCCTTTTTCTGTGGCTCCGTGCCTCTCTCTCTCTCTTCTCTGTCAACCCTGCTTCTTCCTGCCTCTCTGTCTCCCTCTCAGTCTCTCTCTCAGTCTCTCTCTCTTTCTGTCTCCCTCTCTTAGCATTCCACTAACAATAACATTTAAGCTTGTAATACATGGTGTGATGTCATGATCTTTGTTGATTTGAGGTATATTTCTGAATCCTTTGACTTGAGAGCAATATGACCTGCAGAGTCAATAGTGAATTAAGTCCATATTGATGAAGTGGGCACAATATTGTGTCTGTACTATGAAAAAGAGCAATTAAACAATGAAGGAAGATGGTGAAACTAGATGGATATTGACAGTGATGATGAGGTTAAAATACATTAAACCATTTCATATTTGGGCAATTGTGTACCTGGCAAAGGGGAATACAGAGGTTTCCTGGTGGAGATGCGGTTTATACCACAAGGTACCTTTTCCTGTAGCAAGACACCGGTAATTCTACTGCTTTCCTGAGGAGTTCTTTTTCAAACCCAATATCTAGTCTGTTTGGTGCAGAAACAGAGTTTGAAATGAAATTTATGAGGAGAATGTTGGGGATCATTTAGGAGGACATAATGACAAATTGTGAAGTAATAAGTGCAGTGAAAGTGTGTTAAAGTGGAAGATTGGGATGGCCAGGGATTGATTGGACTGGGGCCCTTCAAAGGTGTTGCTATAGGTTCTTTCTAAGAAATAATTATTTGGAGGACCAAAGCTAAAATGTGTATTTTAGGTGTATATGGTAACACACAATTAAATCACTTGCAAAATCAGACAGCTGTGGGAGCTGTCAGAAAGGAGAACCCAATGTTGAGGTATTCTGGGGTAGGGGGTGATTCTTTGCTTGTCAATAAATTCATCAACCTTGGTGGTGAATCTGGATTATTCTCTGCTTGCTGATTAAAGTTGAATCCATTTAACCTCATTATAAGCATACAACACTGGGCCAAGTAAATGTATCATTAAGCAGACAATAATATATGCTTGCCAGCAAGGTCAACAATTTGCCTGACATGTGAAGAATCACTCACTAGCTGGTGACAATGGCCAGTCTGGTCAGGATAATCAATTCACTGACTGTCCATTTTAGGTAACTTTTTGTGAAAGCAATACAAAAAGAAAGTTTGGATTCAAGAGTTTACCGGTACTTTCATGCCATATTTACAATTCTAACAATATGAATAACATACAAAAATCCTAAAGCAAACATTATTATATTCTACTATTACTGTACTATTTCTGAATCAAATCTTACCTTCCAGTTAATTACTTTCAGTATAAAATGGGAATAGGCTAACAAATCGTGAAATAAGATCCAGAAAGCCACTTTGAGCGTCCTGGAAGTTAGGACGTTCTAATGGAAATTCAGCATGTCAATTTAACGAGAGTGGCAGTATAAAGCATTGACCACATGGAACATGTGTAATTCTTTCAAAACCTAGTCTCACAGCAGAAGGCTGCAAATAATCAAGTCTTCATTGTATAAAAGGCTATATGCTGAGTATCCCAGTTGCACTTTAAAAGTGGCTGCTTGTCGACCACATTTAAAAGAGTGAAATGGTCTTACTTTCGTTGGAAGTTCAAGTGGTAAATGTTGTGCAAAGGAACAGGAAGATTTGTCTGATATTGAGCGAACAAGACTTTACCAGACATAATAAATGGTTTCAACTTTAAAGCCCTAACCACAAGGGTATTGCTAATAGAAGATAATTCTGACAGTAAAGCTCCAAAAAGGTAAACAGTAGAAAACTGTATAGTTCATTACATCATTTGAGAGTGTTCAATCCTTAAGAAACTTTTGCATTTGGATGATTTTGATAATATTCTTGAGTTTCACTCTTCTAGTTACTAATGTTATCTAAATTCCTTGAATGCATCCTCATTCCTTTAATATTTCTTTCATTTGTACCGTTTCTTAAATGAGTATCAAGTGAGAATCAAAATGTTATTACCTGCAGCAGATTCTATAACAGCTTGACTAGTGACAGTTGAAGATTCTTGGAGCTGGTATGTCGTAGTGCTTGAAGGGGTTGGGCTGCTGTTGTTGCTTGTCACATAAGGGGAAGGGTATGGAGAACTGTTATAATACTGTGTATATTGTCCCTGGCCAAAGCCTGCATAAGAATATTCCTAGAAAAGGCAAGATAAAATTCTGTTTAAATACTGCTAGCTTTTTTATTTTTTGCTATTTTCTTCCACTCCATTTCTGAAAGCATTTGATTCATTTTCCCTTGACCATGTAGGCATTCTTAAAGTGTACATTTTGCCACAGTACTGGCCAGCTATTCAACTACCTGACATCACAGCTGAATTTAGTTCTAACCTAGCGACTTCGAAACATACAACCTTTCAGCTTGCAGAAGAGCAATTTGTAGCAGAAACCTTGGCTGATTTTTTCTCTCTGAACCAGGTGCTAAGTCCAATTATCGTGTCCCTACTGCCAAGCTGAGATCAACAACTGAATTAGGGTCATTCCTGGACTCTACAGATGCTGACTGGACAACTTTTTTGAGTCATTGTGGGTTTCTTACTTTCATATAACACAAATATACTTTTCTATGTAATGCATTTTAAGGAATCACCTCTTCTCCCATCCTTTTAAAATGCATCAAATTAGGAGATGCATCAAAATAAGATGGCAATTCACACATATTTCAATCACCATAGAATTTTCTTTAACTTTACGGTTTCCAAAACTGTGGTATGAAGGTAATATTAATTTTTAATTTTCCATCCTTATGGAAATTCACAATACAGTGAAATCTGAGGTTTAATAATTCTTAACATCAATGATTTTCCCACTAAATGTAAAAGGGTACAGTTATACTTTGAAATCTTTGAGGGAGCACCAAAACTGACCCTGAAGGATCAGAGGTATATGTTGAGAGGAGTTTTTCAGCACTCTTCCTCACACAGCATCTCTTCTGGCAGGGAATATGAATACTTGCACCTAAGGCCTGTGGCCATTTTTTCTGGCCATGGATATTCTGAGATTTTTTTTAGATAACTGTCCAAAACAGACTTAGATAGTTATGTTTGCAGCCAAAAACAATAGTCACCATTGGAGCCATCTAAATCTAAGTGACTGCATGTGCTACATTGTGGTTTTTTAACTGTTACCAACTTTGTTGTGGAATTTGCTCCACAATGTAAATTCCACTTAGATATTTTGTGTAGTGCTTTGGATCCCTTATTGAAGCAAAATTCAAATCATTGGACGCAATACAGAAAGTACTGCACTTTCTGAAACCAGTAGTTTTAGTTCTGGCCACAGACCTTCACCACTTTGTGAGAAAGGACCACCGATACAGTTTTTTCAGTGATGCACTGTATGGGTTGTTGAGGTTTTAGCTGTCTGGTCTAAAAAAAACCCTAGCTGGTTGTTTCGCCAGAGGCAGCAGAAGGGACCATTTATCCTGTCTCCAGTGGCAGGATCAAGAGTAACCTCGGAATACAATACTGTAGTAACCATTTTCAGAGGTTACTATTGTCCTCTGAGATTACTCTTGATCGTGCCTTCTCAGCTCCTCCCACCATAGGCTGCAGATCATCCAGTCCTCTCCCGCACTAGGCTCTGTGACCCTATTCACCCCCATCCTTGCCCAATTCCACTGGCTTCCCATCACACAGAGGATACAGTTGAAGATCCTCTATGGTCTTGCTCCCCCCTACCTCTGCGACTTCTAACCCCCTACCTTCCTGCTCGCTCCCTCTGCTCAGCGGGCTCTGGCCTGCTTCATGTCCCCCGCCTCGCTCGCCCCACTATTGGCGGACGGGCCTTCTGCCCCCATCCTCTGGAACTCCATCCCGCAGTCCCTCCACCTCGCCCCCCCTCTCTTTCCACCTTCAAGACCCATCTCAAGACCCTCCTCTTCAACCGTGCTTTTGACCTCCCTGCTTCCCCCCCTGTCCTCCACCCTCCACCCCGGCTCCCAGCTCGGGTCCAAACCTCTGTCTGTCCAGCTCCCGACGTGAAAGGCACCATACAAATGTAATTTTGCTGTCAATGTTGTTGATCCTGCCACTGGCTGTCATTGGTGTTAGGCCTGAACTTTAAAAGTGGCATAAAAGGGGTATAACTATAAATTGGGAGAAATTGTTAGGAAAGAAACAGAAATGGGAATGCTTTTTGATGTTGAATTTGTTATTATATGGGATTGTAATGATTGTATAGAAAAAAGTGTTAAACATAAGCTGAAAGGCATAGTGCTGAGCTGGAGAGAATACATGCAAGATAGGAATGCAAGAGATATTTCATTGTTGAAACATCTCAAAACACTTCACAGGATCTACTATAGAGTGTTGTGACAACGTATTTGTAAGCAAATGATACCAGAAGTAATAGTGGGAACTTGAGGAAAATAACACATGTGTCACAGAAAAAGCGAGGAAGAAATGTACATGTGTCAACTGAGGTCTGTGTATAAAGTGACTTTTTAAAGCCGCCTGGCGTGAAGGGTGCTATATAAATGCAAGTTGTTGGTGTTATGCTGTATTGACATACACTGCAATGCCTGACACTGCTGATGCTGTAATATAATTAATTTATTTTGCAGAACAGAATCCACAGCACAAAAGGAAAGAATTTTTTATCTGCAAACATATACAGTATTTCCAAAAGTTTAAACAATAAATTTATTTTCTAGTTTTGACCTTCCTTTCTTTGTCCTTTATAGACCAGCAAACCCCAAAGTTCAGATGAGATGATATAAAACAATGATACAAGATGATAGAAACGGTCTAATGTATAATGGTATTTTTGTATGTTTGTTAGCCTTTTTAGGTCCGCTATTGTATACCTGATGCAATCCATCACTAATTTAATCCTCACATAAAAATCGAAAACAAGAAATTAAGATAACTTTACCTGCTGTGAACTATTAAAACCTGTAGAATTTGTGAGTGAACTACTTCCTGTGTAAATGCCTGGTCCAGTTGCAAAGCTTCCACCTGAAAAAAAGCACTATTGTCAGACATCTTGCTGACATTAACAAAATCACACTCACATACGCTGTACAAAAGTATTCTCATACTGTACACATCTTAGTCTAAAAGATAAAATACTGTAGAACATAATGTAATTCTTCAATTTGTGCTTCATGAACATTTTGCGCATAGGCTCGCTGGTCATTTTTGTGTGAAATGAATTTTGTAGGCACTCAACTCCTGTTCCTACTGCTTTTGGTTCCCAGCTGTCCCAAGCCCCTTCTCTTGACATTGGTCTGATTCTGAATTCATACTTTGGTCTCAGCTAAACTTGACCCACTACTCTGGTTTGTGTCTTAGACTCAGCCAAAAGCAATCTATTGCTACCAGTTCCTGATTGATCCTGGCCCAATCTAACTTCCTGGCTCACTATACCAATCCCAGAAATATATTATGAAGCTGAATTTAAATTGTAGAATAATACTAATGATAATCCTGGAATTAGATATAATAATAATCCTTGCATATGATATAGCGCTTTTCAGGTCTTCTAGACGTCCCAAAGCGTTTCACAGAATAGACTGTAAAGTGAATTGACTGTATATTTTTGTGGGCGAAACAAGGCAGCCAATTGCGCACAGCAGCTCCCACAAACAGTAGTGGATTGAGTGACCAAATTATTATTTTTCTTTTTTTTTTGAAGGGATTATTACCCCCAGAAAGAGATCCACCAATCAACTAACAACCGGGTTCCTACTTACTGCTTACTTACCAGGTTTTGTGTCAAGGTGCATTGATTGTCATTATTATTAATCCTTATGTGTGGAAGGCATGAAGCATCCAAAGTGTACAGTATGTTGATATCATATGGCATGAATGCCACTTTTAGTAAAAATTCCCAAAATGCAAAAAAGAACATTATAGATCTAATTATAAAATAATAGTTACAAGAAAGTAATTTTAAAGTTATAATCTCATTTCAATAATTCTTGCATTTAATATAGCATCAAAATGCCAAAATGTTTCAATAGCCATGAATTGAATTACCAATTCATCTACAGTATTATTGGCCATGACACCAGGAGAAACTCTCTTCTCGCTTTAAATAGTATCATAGGAACTTTAACATACATCTGAGTGGGTAGATGGGGTCTCATCTAAAGGACAGTAGCTCCAATAAAGCTGGCATTGAATTGTTAGCATTATTGAATTGTGATCTTTGAGACAAGTTCTGTCTTGGGGGCATAAACATAAGATTATTGCTTATCATCAAACTAGAACTTCTTTGTGCACTACAAGTCAAGTAAATCTGCCATATACAGGTGCTTGAGAGTAACAGTATGATGAATAGAAAATATTGCAAAGGATTAAAGGGAGAAAAAAATCCTTTCTTTTCAAAGTATCCTATAGAGATTGTTTTTTTAAATATATTTTAAAATTATGAAATGATTCAATTTGGTGGACGTTAATAATCTATAGTTTAAAATGAGGGGGCAGATATTTATAAGTTTACCAGTAAGCATATCTAAGAGGGAGTTTAGGATCAACAATTTGTCTCTATATATCACCCTTCATGCAGGGTAGTTTCTCAGAGCCCTTAAATTTCTTATTATACATTTTATTTATGTAATGCCATATATATAGGAACAATTTTGAAAACATAAAAAAATGTTTTATACAGTGACACTTTATAACAACAACTTGCACTTATATAGCGCACTCCACGCAGGCTAGCATCTCAAGAGCGCTTGAGCACTTTCAGGTTGGAGTATACAATTGGTACATTTAGCCTATCTATCCGTAAGGACGTCTTTATGAAGAGCGTGATGAGAATGTGGAAATTAATGCCAGAAATAGACAGCAACCTATTTAAGAGTAAACGTTTAGGAGGAATGGAGGTTCATGTGGAATAAAAACACTGGCAAGGGCTAGTTGAGCTAAATGGTCTGTTTCCAGACTGTAATGTTCTATGTAATTTTATGTAATATTCAACTATGGTGCTAAATATCCTTTAAGCTTCTTGACACATTGATGAAGACGGTAACATGCGTTATTTCTGGAGAAAGATGAGAGACACCTAACCTAATAACCTAACAACACAGCATCCTTCACGCAGGGTAGCGCCTCAGAGGGCTTAACTAATGAGGAGAACCAAAACATTGAAACTAAATAAAACAAACTGGATACATAAGGCTAAAAGGACAAAATTCTACTCCTGCTTGAAAACGGCACTACATAAAACAATTTTTTAATGTTTTCAAAATTGTTCCCATATATGCATCGTTCCACAAATAAAATATACAATAAACACAATACAATATACTGTTGGTTTTACTTATAGCGAAAAACCTTCATATATAACTCAGGATTTGTTTTTCATGACTTGTCAGGCTTTCCTGAACTGCAGGAAAAAAAGCAATTTCTGCTGTTTTAGATTTTGTATAGTCTATTTAAAATATATGAAAAATAAATTATTATTTTCCCTCAACAATGTCTCACTTTCCTTCACATTGCTGTGAATGTAACACATGCATAAAAAGAGAATGAATTACATTTTCCCTTTATGATTTAGTGCATTTGTTTGTCAGACTAAGTTTATTTGGTTCCATTGAAACAACTGCACATGAAGGTAATACTTATTCAGAACAATTTTTCACTTTTTTTAAAAAAAAAGAAACATGCTGACTAGTAATTTCAAATGAACAGATGCCGAATAAACCTAATACAGGATAATAAGCCTTCTTTTATCTAAGTTTTTATCTTTTTCTGGGGTTTTGAGCATTTTGTTATCTTTACAACAAATCACAGCAGTCATAGCCCAGTTCTTTTCAATGGTGGGTGGAGGATGAGGAAAGACCAGCTGCTCTCAAGCATAGCTTAATAACTGATAACTTGAACAGTACAACTGTTGTGTGGGGATGTAGGCACCAAATAGGCTTTCGGGGGGAGGAGGCTGACATATCAGCCAATGAATATGTATGTCTGTCCAACCTTTATTGAATTGGTTTGCTTGAAGAAGCACCTTTAGGTAATTAAATCAATCAAACAGTGATACCATCTAATGACTTAATAACATTCAGGACATGAATTATAATAGCCTTAAGGAAAGATCCTGGAGGTACCGTCAAATCACCATCATTAACTTTTGCAATGCCCCTCTCATACTGAGCTTACAAGTAGAAGAGAAAAAAGCAGGCAAATACATCAAAACATTTGCTGCTTTGCAGTTAGATATTAGAAAACATACAAGTAGCCCTTTTTTGTTTTCAAAAAATATTTAAATGGTTTTATTTCTAAATTATTTTCTAAGAAACATTTATTTTCAATTTTTTAAAAAAATCTTTTATTTATCAATGTTATGTCTTTTTAACTTATTTTGAAATTTACTTATAAACATGAATTATAATTGAGCTACACTGGTTTGTATAAAGTAAAATCAATAAACAAAACAAGAAGCTACCTAAATAATAATAATCCTTGCATTTGATACAGTGCCTTATAACGTCTTCGAGAAGCCTCAAAGCGCTTCACAGAATACACTGTAAAGTGAATTGACTGTATATTTTGTGGGGGAAATGTGGTAGACAATTGCGCACAGCTGTGTCCCACAAACAGTCGTGGATTGAGTAACCAATTATTTTTTAAGGGGATTATTACGCCCGGAAAAGCGACTTTGCCAATTACCAATCGACTGACAACCGGGTTCCTACTTCTGCTACGTAAACAAGCATTATAGAGTAAGGAACCTTGCCTAACGTTTCACCCCGCCTGGGAATCAACCACAGGTCTTGTTGCTTGTGAGGCGAGTGCTCAAACCACTAAGCTGCAAGACTCCTATCAAATAGCTTGGTACGGAACATACTGTAAAGACCCACAAGATCCCAGGCTCATAGATCATACAAATTTAAAGTGCAGAAGGAGGCTATTCAGCAAATTGAGGCTGCACCAGCTCTCAGAACAAGGTGTTCATCAATCCCACTGCCCTACTTATCCCCATGCTGCATGAAGCCTCTATAGCATGAGCCTCTAGGCACAAAATTAAGTATGTGGTGACCTTGCTGTTCTCAACCATGGAGTCAATTTAGGTGCTGGAGATAGCCTCATTACCAGCTAAGAAGGAAAAAATATCAACCGGCTTTATTACTTTCAAGGAGGGTAGGTTGGGGGTTGGCCTTGCGTCTTCCACACTCTTCCAATAAAAAAATAGATCGCTGACTATCTACTGTTATAGGTGAAGAACAACTATTTGGAGAAGATACAGGCGGTGCATATAGAACTGTATCGCAGCATAATATGGTACACCTTCAGTACAGAAGGAAATAAAGGGGGTATAGTGCCAGAGACAAGCTTGCACTTGAATGAGGCGATGTCAGCATTCACACTGCATCCCATATAACCATGCAGTAGACACAAAGGTATTTGTATTTCCACTGCTGTGTTTATTTTGCAGTTCTGCCAATTTTGTGTGAGTTTCAGCACAAAACATACATGCAATGTTTGGTGAAGTCACGATTCATGATGATGTCATGTGCATAGTGCACCTTTGCACTGCTATTTCGGTTGCTAGAGTTACAAGCTAAATGTTATAAGCTAAAGTCATAGCTTCTACTGTGATAATATATTTCTAAAATCTGCTTTATTGTAAAAGCCCTAAATTACTGAAAGGCTGCATCATTTGTAAAGATTTCAATGTTTTAATGTGCTTACAAATAAAATTCAACAAAAAACGTTGTTTGTATATTCTAAAAGCTTGTACATATATTTAATACCACTTGATTGCTGAAAAAACCTAAAAGAGAAACATTAGCTGACTGTTAATTACACAGTTCTTCAATATTACCAGCTCTTGTCAAAAACACACAGGAGATTAATTTACAGCACTCAACAGAAAAAGTAATTATACCTCTGTTCAGGGAAGCAAAATGAGCATGGCCCTTTCATCCCGTGGTCATCATCAGCTCATGGGGAGGTCTTACAGACCGTAACAAACGTAAAACAGGTTTGATACAAAACTCTGTGTGGGCTAACCAGTACTACTGACTCCGACTTTGCAATTTAATAAGGTAAGATGGCTGAAGATCGCATTTAAGTTTTGTTTTATTAGTAAAGTTTCACCAACTCTCTGACTTGAAAATATAAACCCAGACCTTCTGTGCTGTTTTCTGTAGTTTTCTTGCATTGTGAATCTTTCGTTTCTGAGGCCCCAGATCTTATTCTTCTCTGTAAAACTCAGACTTCTTTGTAAAATAAGTTAGCTAGAAAGGCAGTTTCAAATACGATAAAAGCTATAACTTTCAGGTCAAAGGCTAAGTCAGGAGAGAGCAAGGATCCACATAAAAGCTAAGAACCTTAGCAACATTTGAAGAATGAAGACCTGCTGGGACTAGTTTGCAGTTCCCATGTGTAGAGTGTTTTTTTTCTATTTCCCATTTTTCTAGTCAGGACGCAAGCCTCCCTTGTGGGCTTCCTACAGGACTCCATTTGCTTTGGTTGATCAGCCTCTTTGCCATGGGCTATGTCTATCATCAGTGCACAATATATGTGGCAGAAGTTAGTAGAACTCTCCAGGGAAATGCCTATGAAGTCCAGATGGGCTCTTTAAAACCAAGAATTTCAGCGTCTGATTTATTCTGTCCTGTTTACAACATCACACAGCTTGTAATATAACATAGGTGACTAAAAACTCAAACATCTGTATCAAATGTTTTACATACCTCAATTTGCACAGATTGTAATTATGAATAAAAATTAGTTGCACAAATTATTTTTTTATATTCATAGTACAAACTTTCCAAATGTACAGATAATCATAAAATGAATATAATTATATATATATATATAAAAACTCAAAACACTAATTTAATCTATGAAAATATTATGTTCCTTAAAAAATAATATGGTGTTGCTCAACTACTACAGCGCTTATCGAATAACTCCATATTATATTTGATAATAAGAAAATAATATTTAATAAAAATACTACTTACTAAAAAGTAGACTGAAATGCAATTCTTTGTTGGTGAGTCCGTAACAAGGAAGCATAAATATATTTATTAACAGAGTAATCATTTTAGGAACTTCTTTACATAGAGAATATAAGAATGTGGAACTCGCTGCCAGAAGTGGTGGTGGATGCAGAACACATCAATTCATTTAAGACGAAACTCAATGCATTAATGAGGAAGAAGGGAATAGAGAGGTTATGGGGAGGATATTAGAATGGCTGAAGTCTCATTTGGAAAAGAAAAAACATGGACTTGTTGGAATGATGGCCTGTTTCAGTGCTGCAGATTCATAATCACACACTGGCTATCATACTCCAAAGCAAGTTTGGAAGCCAGGGAATAATAGATAAGGGAAGGGGAGGAAGAACATTTTTTGCCTCTCCAAAATCACTTGCTGATAAGTAAATCAAAGAATCAAAATGACTGGGCACCATAGAAAGTTGACCACTCCAGTGGACTTCCAAACTCCTTGAAAACACAAACCAATGGTAAATTCACAACCTGACAGGAAAAGCACATGACCGCATTGAAGGTCAGCTCATGACATTCATCAATTGACCACCGAATCTCATCTCACACAATTCAAACAAATCCATTACAAAATCAGACATCATTTGCAAAACTGCAAACTCCACAGCAAACCAATTTGTCGCCAACAGTATTTAAACAACTGAAAAGTTCCTGCAGGTCTTTGTCTACCCAACGCCATGAGCTGGCACAGAAAACCTAAAAGGAATCTTGGAATATAAACACTAAAAGGAATCCTGGAAAAGAAAATCTTCAAGAAGATCTGTGCTACCAGATTTCTTGTTGTTTTCTGTCAATTTACACAATGAAGAATCTCCAGTTTCAGATGCAGCAAAACATGCAAAATCAGATTTTTACATGATGTGGAGTTCTGAATTTCAGTAAGGCGATAGAGGAGAACGCAGAAAACACAAGTATGGGTTGTAGGAGCCAACGAATCAGAGTCATCAAAATGTGCTTTAGTTTACTGATTAAAAATAAAGAGCCAATACTGTCCAGTTTACTAGTAACAAAGCACCAGTGGCCCTTTTAGAACAGCTCGGATCAGCAACCCAGTTGTGACATTAGCTTGCAGTATTATTGGGACTTGTGGAAAAAGAATCATGGCCTACAAAACATACTCATCTAAGATAGAAAAACCACATCATGGAGATTCCAACACCATAAACAAGGAAACTGTCAATGTGACCCAAGTGATCAAAGACAGGAGCATCTCTTCCCATATCTTACTAAAGGGGCTCCTCTCCCAATCTTTCCCAGAGCAATGTTGCCGGTAACCAATTCCAACTCTCCCATGCATAATATTACCCAGCACATATGGTCTTCCTTGTACATTCAATTCGCATGTGTATAATAGTTCTGTATGAAGTGCCATATGAATATGATCTAAATTGACTGAGCCTGATGCGTAATGCATATTTCAACAACGACAAAAAATTACATCTGTATAGCACCTTTCACATCGGGAGGCCGTCCCAAGTCGCTGGAGTCAGGGATTTGGACTCAAGCAGGGAGTTGGGATCAGGGTGGGTGGAGGGCAGGGAGGGTAGGGGTAGGAGGATGGCCGAAGGCGCGGTCAAAGAGGAGGGTCTTGAGATGTGTCTTGAAGGAACTTACTATTATTTCTTTGAGCTTGAATGCAAGACACTTAAAAGCACTTTCAAAAGAGCAGTAACACAGTGTCCATCAATGTATAACAATGGTAGAAACTCAGTATAAACCAATTTCCACTGGTAAATATAATTTAAATACCATTTGATTTCCCTGAGATGATGTTCACTACAAGGTCTCAGGTGATCACAGCTATATTCACTTCAATCAAGACATGTACAGGAAGCTAAATTCATTCAAATCAATCTAAATCTGGTTTCATGGTCCAAATTTGGTTTGGGACTGACAGGTGTTTGTTGGTTGGTTGTATTTCCAGTTTATAGTAATGTTTCAAATAAATCAATGGAGTTCACATGTGATTTATGGCGAGTCATGCATTTTACAATCCCTAGCACAAAGGCAGTTCCTTTGTTTAATTGTTGGCTAGGAACTGTGACAGAAAACTTGCAACTTGCACCATAATAATTCCCTTTATTAAGTTTTAGAAGTAAGATATATCTTTGAACGTTTACTGTAAAAACAAAAACGAGATTCTAATGTTAAAGTAGACAGACTATTGCACAATTACAGTAACTCCTTTTATTTCACCTTCCAAGTTGAAATTGCCAAATCATAAGAAACACAAGAGTTTCACTGCTGTGCGCAATTGGCTGCTGTGTTTCACCCACAAAATATAGAGTCAATTCACTTTATAGAATACTCGGTGAAGTGTTTTGAGATGTCTTGAATATGTGATAAAGCGCTATATCAAATGCAAGGATCATTATTATAAATATAGTAATCTAATTTTCTTATTTTTCCAGCAGCTGTGATACAACTGTCATTTTTGTACAAAAGGGAATATGTGTCAGACGGTAGCATCTAACTACTCTGCCTGCTGTCATGAAGGAAAATGATTATGGTATCAGTATGAGAGAGACCTGATAATTATAGGCTAATAAACATATGGGAGGTTATCAAGTGTTAAATTGTCGACAGTAGTTTTAAATCTAATGCTTATGTGCTAATTGTGTTTTGTTGAAATTAAAATGATAATCCTGAAAAAATGATTGAGAAAAATGACTACAGTATCAGCATGAAATCCTGCTGCATTATAATACTGTGCTTCAATAGTAGGTTGTAAAGAATTTATAGGATACATTTATTATATATAAAAAAATATTATTTTAGCATTCATAATAAGCTCTCCAATGGCTCAGTAGGAATGTCCACTGGCTCCAGATAGAAAGGTAAAGTCTCACCTTCCTGTTCTAGTGGTTTAGTTTTTCCCATCCAGCCTGTACTTTGTTTCTGAGCCTGATGTGCCTCATTTTCCTGTCCATCTATTGTATTAGTGTAAATTATTTCCAGTATAAAAGCACCATAACAGCAGTAGTATACCATATGCAAATTCAAATAAAGAGCTTATTAACAGCAGTGATAAATTGTAAACATTGGAAAATTTTAAGTCATAAACCCTTATCTAGCAACTGGCAACCAGATATTGCATGCATTAAATGACTACATTATCCAATTTTAAGAAATTGGTTCAATCAGACTAGTGACACAGACCTTGCATTTGGTAACTGTAAGGGGCTTGGCCTGGTTGAGGTGCACTAAAGCTTGAGCCATAGCTTAGAAATCCAGTTTGGCCAGGTGACTGTGTTTGAGTCAATCCACCTTCTGTCTTGATGCCTGCCCATAATGCACCTATATCGGTTAGTGACATCAGATCTGCAGGTTCTTATTCAGGTATTAGAAACAGAAGAATTATCATTTGATGAAAAAAATTACATCTCTAACAACACAAATATACTGCAAATTTTCCATTTTGTTAGTTCTTGAATTCGATTTTGCACAGTAATTAGGCTTAATGTAATTGCTAATAAATAATGTGATTTTTTTTAACAAGCAACGCTTATGTTTACCATAGGGCGGAATTCCATAATGCTGGCCTGGTTGTGGATAGGTTGCATAAGCTGCTGCTTGCTGCATTCCTGTGGTATACTGAGATTGTCCATATGCTGCCATAGTTTGTGAGGAAGGAGTAGGGAGAATGTGTGGGTATGACCTGCTGTTTGTTAAAAATGATAGACATAGAACAGGGACTTGTGTCAGATCAAAAAAAATTATCTAATTACACATATTCACTAACAAATGATTACTAATTTTCCTGTTCAATCTTCCATTAAGCAAGATTGCAATCAGATTCAAATCCCCACAATTCAAGCCCACGGGAAAAAACATTCTGGAAATAGTACAGTCAAGTCACAGATTGTCTCAATCGACCGTTCTCCCTCTCAACAATAGTTTTCACTCCCCTTCCTTTTTTTAAACTTTGGCATTGGCCAAATGCATCATAAAGGTCTTTTCTGTCCAATGCATTCTTGTATTCCCCTTAGATCTCCAGTAGTTCTTTATCCCTTGCCTAACTTTTTGCCTTAATCTTCTTATTTTTCCCTTATTTTAACCTCGTGTTTCTTTTGTCCACGCAGTCTTCTATTTCTTGTTAAATATTTTTTAATTTAATTCAATTTACCTTCTTGCTGGAGTTTGTCTTTAAATTTAGCTTGTCTTTCCCCCATTTTCTTTGCCATATCTTTTGCCTGAATCTGCTTTATAATTTTGAACGTTGTCTTAAACCTTATCTTGCAGCTGTTTCACATGCCTGCCAGACAAAGCAGCATATGTATATAACATATTTTCCTACAGTTTGGAAAGGCCAATTTAAGAGCTAGGGCAGGTCAGTTTCAGGAAAAAGGGACAAGGCTATAGCCATACTTTCCTTAGCGGTTCAGACAATAATTGCCATGGCTTCAAAATATATAAAATATACATAACCTTAGAAAAATAGCTTTAATTATAATATGCCATAAGGATTGAATTAAGAGTTTAAACTAAGTTAAATGCTGATTATTTTTTAAAGAATAGTAATAGAAACCTTACTTGGAAGGATAAATCTGAGGAGAGAAGTGGTGAGCTTGTCTTGGGCTAAAGCCACTGCTTCCAATTGCTATACAGAAAGAAAAGAAAATAACAAGCACAAGATAAATATTATGTTAACAGAACTTCAAAAACCCTGTAGATGTTAGCTGTATTGTTGGAATTGGTCATTACCACCATTACAACAACATATTTAAATATTAACACAAATTCAGTAACAAACAGATTTATTTCTGAGTAATGTTTTTTTAAATTCTACTTTGTTGATATGTACATACATATATTATGGACCACATTCTATTTATCCATATACAGAGGAAAATGTGAATATTCTATTTTGTTTACATTGATACAGTTGCATTTCCATTGCCGCACCTAAGTGAGCCTTCTTCATGTGTGAGTTAAAAATGTTAACAAATAATTTGACTGGGGGCATCAGAGCTGAACCTGGTCCTGTCTTAGCTAACATCCCACATTTCATACTTGACACCTATAACAATGAAACAACTTAAAAGTGCCTCACAACTAATTCCATTAAGAGGAGTGACCGTAGACAAACGTGACAAGGACCTACAAATAGCCATGACAGTTTAATATGAAGGATAATTGGCCAGACACCTGATAACTCACTAGTTGGGCACTTTTAGTGCATGGAAAACCATGCACTAACAAACATCCACACTCCATTCAAGTTGTAAACAAACTAATGATATAATGAAGTATGCTATTAATGGGCTGCACTGTTTCTCCAAGCATTTGAACCTGCCTATTGGACTGCAACTCTATTTTCATTAATCTTCATTTTATTTGTGAGGCCTCAATTGAATGGAAAGATCAAAATCCAACTAGATCAGATATTATGAGATCTTTCAATAAATAAGTATAAAAATGTAATTTGGTTAATTTCATCTGACGTACTGAATATTTAATTGTATGTTAACTGAATCATTTTTTTCCCCCAAGGAATTACATAGTTATTATTAAAGAAACATTTTTTATTTACGTAGGCCCTGCCGTTTGAAAAGCATGTTTCCAAGTGATGTGTAAATAGTGTGAATTGTTCTGTTTACTGTAGTCTTTTAAAAACTAACTGTGGACAAATAGCGAAATACTCCAGGCAGTTGCTTTATTGGCATCAGTCAGAATACCTCGTTCTTCTAATGATTCTTAGGTGGAATTTGCCTCAAGGCTGCTCACTGAGCTGAGAGTTGAGGATCATTATATCCTTTATCTGTATTCAATGAATGGATGGGTTTCCTTGAAACATAGTTAGCCATGACCTTAATGAGACATTTCACTCCCCTTACCTGATCCTGAGAAATTGTCTGCAGACCCGTCTGTTGTTGTTCCAATATCACTGCTGCTCATTGGCTCTCTTTTGACTAAAAAGGAAAACAAAAAACAGTGAAACAGTTTCAAACATTTGATCAAAACGTGTCTGTGTAAAATAATAGCCGGAAGGTTAAAATACAGCTCCAAATATGTTTTCCTCCCTTTAAACACTGAGGTACTGCAGATGATGCTCTACGTTTCGTGTAGGTTTAGCGCAATTTGACAATATATTATTAGATATATTATTAGAATAACTGTGCATACCATCGAAGTGCACTAAACGTCCACAGAGCATCACTTAATTATGTTGTATTCCTATTTTTCACATCCAGAAATATGACCCCCAAAGTAATTTGTTTCACTTGTAAGCCATGAGTTATACTATACTTCTGTTTCTCATATTTTGGTACTTTCTGATTCGGTTAAGAATCCTTTGTGAAATTAGGGTTAACGTACTTAATAAAGAGTCTGCTGACGAAGTTATATTGCACTTTTAACAAAAAAAGTTATATGGACCACAGCAACAAACACTGTTTAAAATGCTATAAGTAGTTTCCTTAAAGCTCAGTGGTTAAATGCTAACATTGTTTGGTATTGAGCCAAATAGCCTAGGAAGTGTTTGGTTCGATCCTCGTCTGTGCAAAGTTAACTTTATCTCAGCTGGGTCAATGGTGGGACACTATCATGTAGGTGGCCTCAATTTTTTTTAGTTGGGAAGAGGTAAATAAGCAGCCAGGATAAACCTTGCAAGAGCATTTCTATGGATGTCAAATGATGATCAGGCTCAGCTGTGATGCCCCAATAAGCGACAAAGCTGCTGAGATTCATTATCTAGGTTTACATAAGCAATGATAGCTGACAGTGCTCATGGTATTGTACTCCACCATTAGTCACTGCCTTCAGCAAAGTAAGGAGGGAGAACATTTAAAAAAAAACTGAAGATAAAATGTTAGATAGATGCTTAAAACATTAATCGATAATTCTGTTCTGATTAAATAGATTAAGATAGAAAGTTGCTAAACTTTATCATAATAGAGATTTTTAAAAAATATATGCTAGAGTTAGGATATCATTCATGTTGTGCTTATGTTACAAAATTTTAAATATAAGTATTTTTGTAATGTATTCGCCTGTCAGTTCTGTGAAATCCATTCCATTTACACTGCAGGGCAAATTCTACAGCATCAACAGCAATATATTAGTTTGTGTGTGCAAGTTTGAACATGTGTTTGCAACCTATTTTGTGACTGCCAGACCGTCTCCAATGTTTAGGCCCTTCTGCAGCCAAATAAAATGGTGGCATACTCCTCTGGAGTAATTTTTACATTACTACTGCCTCATGAGGCGATGAGGAAGCCACCTCTTCCAGTGAGTTTCAGTACCTTCAGTGAAGCACTGCTGCTAAATTAGGAGCTGCTGGCTGCGGAATTTTTTGTAAGGGAAGTACAGAAAAGAGGTACCACTTTGTCTTGTTCTACAAGTTAACTAATTTGTTTAACAGTAATTCTACTAATCAGAGTAGCCAAAGCTGCCTGAGGTTGTTAATTAAATGGATAAGTAATTGTATACATCTGTCAATAACTATATCAAAGATAAAATCTGTTTTCATATTCACCTTGAAGTTTTGTTACAAATTACTTAGTATGTTGTCTTTCCTCCCTTTCATATGAACTGTATGTACTGAATCCAGAGCAATGCAACTATTTTATTGATGTTACAATTGTTAATGTATCAACTCAGTGTAACAAACCTGGGGTCTGTGATTGCAAATTAATGCCAATCAGGGACTCAAATCACCCCAAAGGCAACTAATGAGAGGCACAATATTTGGCTTGTTGGGCCTTTTACAGGCAAGGAAGGTTGGCAAAGTGCTGCTGGTCTTCTGACCACTGGAGAACAACAACAACAAACTACATTTGTATAGCACATTTCACTTCAGGAGGACATCCCAAATGAATGGGGTCTCTAGTTGAGGGATGCTCTCTCGCCTGGCAGTAGTCATCAGTTACCTCCAACTACAGTGCCAAATTGTGGTCCAAACAAACCTCCTCCTCTTTTATGGGCAGACTCAGGAATCACTTCTGATGGCAACAGGAACGAGAGCAGCAAATGGGGATATAATGGTGGTTGGTGTTGGCAGGAAAGCGAATCTCAAGAAGGAACAGGCAAGAAGACAGATATCGCTGCTGCTGGCGCTCCCGACATATGATTAAAAGCTCCCTTTGGTCAGCGGCCCTGCTTTATATGCCCTGTCCTACCCGTCCCACCATCGGCAGTCAGGCTTTTAGCACATTTATTGTCCCTCTGACTAGCTACCTCCCTCAACTCTTTCAAGGTCTGTTGTATTTGTAACCTTTGTGGAGTCCTGTGGCTCAGTGGTTAGAGCACTCGCTTTGCAAGTGAGAGACCTGAGTTCAATTCCAGGCAGGTCAGGGCGAAACCTTGGGCAAGTTTCCTTACTCCACACAATGCCTAATAATAATCCCTCCAAAACCCAAAACAATAATAAATTGGTCATTTTCAATCTACGACTGTCTGTGGGACATTGCTGTGCGCAATTGGCTGCCGCGTTTGCCCACAAATATACAGTCAATTCACTTTACAGTGTACTCTGTGAAGCGCTTTGGGACGTCCTCCCGACGTGAAAAGCGCTATATCAAATGCAAGGATTATTATTCTTATTATTATCATTTTTAGTTAGATAAAAGTTATTGTTTTGAGTAAAAATGGCTGTCTTTCTGTCTTGTTTCCCCCAAAATACCATCAGTCCATGGAGTCCTGTAACTCAGTGGTTAGAGCACTCTGCTTGCAGGCGAGAGACCCAGGTTCGATTCCTGACAGGGCGAAACATTGGGCAAGTTTCCTTACTCCAAACGCCTCTGTTCACCTAGCAGAAAGTAGGAACCCGGAATTTAGTCAATTGGTGGATCACTTTTCCTGGGGTAATAGTTTCTTTAAAAAAAATTGGTCACTCAATCCACGAATGCTTATGGGACACTGCTGTGCGCAATTGGCTGCCGCGTTTCGCCCACAAAATATACAGTCAATTCACTTTACAATATATTCTGTGAAACACTTTGAGACATCCTGAAGATGTGATAAGGCGCGATATCAAATTCAAGGATTATTATTATTATTGAGTTTATCCTGTGGTGTTAGCTCTTCCACTGGAGGTAAACTACTCTAATCACAATTCACTGCTCTTTTCTGTGCATATTAATATTGTTTCTCTTCTAACTAATACAATAATGTGTAATGTAAAATACTATTAAATACCAAAATATGTTTGTTACTAATATTAAGTTCAAGATTGCATTGATTAAAATTTATTCTTAAAAACATGAGAGAGGCTTTCTCCCTCTCCCCCCGCCAACCCCCTCTATTCTTAGTTAGTGGGGGAGAATTCTGTCCAAACAACTATGCACTTTTAGCTATCATTGTAAATGACCAGGGAGACAATGATTAAACCCCACTGTCTAAACAATCCTCACCTTAGAAGCAAAAGTATCAATATTGGACTATTTATTGTTGAACCAGTAATGTTCTGTTTTAAGAAATGATGAAATGATGAATACAATTATTCTTACTGATAAGCACAGATAATTCCATAATAATTTTATGAAAATTAGCTATTGGGATACTTGAAACGTTATCAAATCTAACATCAGCACAAATTATGTGAAGTTTACTTGAATGATGATGAAACCAGTTGATAAAAGCATACGGATTTTAATATTTAACTGGCCGGCATCAACATACCTGTGAAGTGCGTTACAAATTTAGTTGATGACAGTTAATAGGGACGTAGTCAGACTATTTTCTCAGACACAATTGATTCCAAATACAAAGGCTTTCACAGGAGGCAGAAATGGTAGTGGAATTTGCTTTCTTTTGAAACAGGCAGCCCTCAGGGCAGGAGGTGAAGTGTACATTCTGAGCTGTCCTCAGTAATTTCTATTTTTCCTAATTCACTTTCTAATTCAGATGTTCATTCACACTCCATTGGTGTCATTGAGAACATGTGCAGCAATATTCTCTTGCAGCTTCTTACATTTGACACTCTCTTTGGCAAAGAACATCTGGCCCTATAATTTTCGCACTCCAAATGGAAGCATCAATTAGTTAATGAGATTAATGTGCATAAATTAGTCTCTAATGCAGCAATTCCAATTGTATGCTCATGCTACTGTCAATGTATGGAAATCAGCATCAATGACTTATTTTCTATTGTAATTTTCACCACCTCAAAACCAGAACAATTAGCTTTCAACTTTATTGGAATGATTTTGATAGCTCCAAAACATTAAAGTGTGACAGAGGATTCAGTTGACGTATGTCACATTTGTTTTAGATGCAGGTTGGTACTTGCCTAGCACAAAACTAAAATGCGTTCAAACAAAATATAAAATTCAAATTCTCAATTTAGTGAATACTGTGCATTATTAAATTGTGTTAAAATTTGCCACTTTGGTTCACTTATTCGAGCATCAAACAGAAATGTTGTCACAAAACTTAAAATAAATTAAAACCAAGGTTTAATGCAATTCAATAGAAAACACTATAGTATCTCACAACCACACAAAGAGATAAAGGGCACACAGCAAAAATATCTTGATAATGCACACAGTAAACAGAAATTGGTTGGCCAAAATTTAGCAATACTTTTTCCAGCTAAAAATATCATACAAGTAAATTAAAGATATAAACAGAATGCAGGTAGTCTGAAACTATATCTATGCGGCACTTCGGGGGACACACCACACAACATGAAAGAATCAATCTGATTTTGTCATTTTGCACCAGGCCACACAAACCTTCAGTGGTCTGTGTACTAGAACCTAGCAACCAGTCTGCTGCGCTGAGCAAAGTCATGTTGTCACCTGAAGGAAAATTGTAAAGAAAAGATTTAAACAATAAACTGAAATTATCAAGGGATGAACGTTTTAATTTAAACTAATGTGGGATACATGATAAAACTCCTACCTTTTCCAAAACTGCATTGGTATACTGTGCAGTCAAGAATATTCATAAATATTCATTATTTGACAGCATGTTTAGAATGTGATAAAAATATACGCAAAAAATTGGATTAGAAATAGTCTAGACTATGAATTTAACACTATCAATAACAGACTCAGAGAACATCAAAAGAAAAATATGTGCAAACAGTGAAATGAACAAGCTTTGCAAATGATTATTTTTAATATTAATTTCCCCAAAACGAAACCACAGGATAAAAATACAAAAAATTATTGTTTCAATCATAAATATGATGTGCATCTGTGAATACTCACCACTGTTTTGCTTACTATTTATAAATGTTATTTGTTTAAAATCATAAGAATAGTAATTACTCTTAATTTATTTCATAGAGGGATACAATAGCAACTTGCATTTATATAGTGCCCCTCGTGCAGTGTAGCATTCCAGAATGCTTTATATACATTTAAATTAGTACAAAACTCAGATCAATGTGTGCAGATATCTATGATATTGTATAAATGTGTATAATATTTATATTAAACTTTTGTTATATAAATATGTATGTATTAAAAATCAGAAATATCAGGAAGCCTGGTTTAGGTATTGCATTCAAAGTAATATAATATATAGTGAACCCTTAACATTCTAGAGGGCAATGTTACTAGAATTTTTTTGAACAGAAGGTTGGTAGGATGAGGAATGGTTTGGAAATTGGTTGGGAGGCAGGAAACAGAGAGTAGGGATAAAAGGAACGTTTTCTGATTGGCAGGACGTGAAAAGTGGTGTTCTCCGGGGTTCTGTACTGTGGCCTCAGCATATATATCTAATATATATATATAAAAACAAGCTCACATGTACAAAAAGTTATCAAAGGCTAATGGAATATAATTATATAATAACCCTTGTATTTGATATAGCGCTGTTCACGTCTTGTAGACGTCTCAAAGCACACCATAGAATATACTGTAAAGTGAACTGACTGTATATTTGTGGGCGAAATGCAGCAGCCAATTGCGCACAGCAGTGTCCCATACACAGTCGTGGATTGAAGTGACCAATTTATTATTGTTTTTTTTTCTTGAAGGAAACTTGCCCAAGGTTTCGCCCTGCTGGGAATCAAACCCAAGTCTCTTGCTTGCGAGTGCTCTATCCACTGAGCTACAGGACTCCACCTTATGTGGGCCACAGGGGTCTGCATAGATGATTGATTTGATTTTTACTGTCTGCAAATGGAAATTGGTATGCTTCCTCCAAACAGATCTTATGAATATCACAAACTTTCAGTATGTCACCACAGAAATTATAGATTGATTCTACAGAATGATTCACCAACATAGGAATGATGTGCCGAATGGCCTCTTTCTGTGTTGTAATAATCTATGTTATTGTTATGCTCTCTCTGACACTATACTAACATTAATGGGTGACCAGCACTTTACACATCACTGTGCGTCATTAAATTTCTAAACACACTTTGTATTTTTAACATTTACAAAATCCTATGTTAATAGCACAATAATCGTAGTACAATTTCCACACAACTATTGAAATTTACAGCACAGAAAGAGGCCATTCAGTCCATTGTGTCTATGCTGGCTCTCTGATAGATCGGCCCTTGTTGCTGCCTTTTCCCCTACGCTTTATATTTTCCCTTTTCAGATATTTATTTAATTCCATTTTAAAAGTTAATATGGATTCTGCCTCAACCACAGATCAAGGTACAAACATAGAAACAGAAGTAGGCAATTTAGCCCCTTGAGCCTGTTCTGCCATTCTATAAGATCATGGCTGATCTGTACTTTAATTCCAATTACCCACCTTTGCCCCATATCCCTTGATACTCTGACCTAACAAATATCTTGAAAATGTGAATGGATCTAGGATCCACGGCCTTTTGGGGGAGAGAGTTCCAGATTCCCATTACCCTTTGGGTGAAAAATTGCCTCCTGATTTCACTCCAAAATGGCCTAGATCTAATTTAAGATTATGCCCCTTTGTTCTGGTTCCCAGGAAATAGTTTATCTGTATCTACTTTATCAAATTCCTTTATTATTTTAAAAACCTAGATCAGATTACCCCTCAACCTTCTAAACTCAAGGGAATATTTACCAAGTTTATGCAACCTGTCCTCATAATTTAACTTTTTAAGCCCTGGTATTATTTTGGTGAATCTGTGTTGCACCCCCTCCAGAGCCAATATATCCTTCCTGAGGTGCGGTGCTCAAAACTGAACACAGTACTCCAAATAAGGTCTGATCAAGGCTCCATACAGTTGAAGCATCATTTCCTCTCCTTTATATTCCCACCCCCTTAAGATAAAGGCCAACATTCCTGATTTATAATTGTCTAATAATTATCTAATAATGAACAATGTAGTCCTGTAGCTCAGTGGTTAGAGTACTCGCCTCGCAAGCAAGAGAACTGGGTTTGATTCCTGGCAGGGTGAAATGTTGGGCAAGTTTCCTTACTCCACACGCCTGATAATAATCCCTCAAGNAAAAAACCCAATAACAATTTGGTCACCCAATCCACGATTGTTTGTGGGACGCTGCTGTGCACAATTGGCTGCTGCTTTTCGCCCACAAATATACAGCCAATTCACTTTACAGCATATTCTCTGAAGCCCTTTGAGACATCTCGAAGACGTGAAAAGAGCTATATCAAATCCAAGGATTATTATTATCATAACCTGTGTTCCAAAAACATTGAAAACTATTTTGCGAGATTTATAACATCTCATTAAGGAGGAATGAATTGCCTTGTCTAATTATCTGTAATTTATGTGATCATCCACTCCTTTCTGTGTATTCAAAATGGCAACAGGCAAAAAGGCGCATGAATTAGGGTTGATATATTTATCATTTAACTCTGACATAAATGTCTTCAGCAGTAGCATTCAAGATTACTTATATGGCCAACAACACAAATAATACGAACAGCAACTATAGAATTCAACTCCACTAATAGTTTTCTCAAGCAAACACTTCACTTGACAAGTGTTTGCTGAAACGTATGCATTATTGTTAACAATATTGTTATTGTTATTGGACGTACAACCCTATACATATCTTCATAGTAATAGTCAACACAACAGATTATCATACTTAAATATTAACTTACAAAGCACAAACACACAGAGATCATGAAAAATATAAAGCAATTTTAAAAATATTTGCAGGAAAATTATCAAATACGCAGGAGGCAATTATGATGAATGACACACGAATATTTACACTGGTTTCCAGCTGAAGGAAAATAAATATGTTTTACAAATATTTGGCAATTAAGAAACAGCGGAAAGAGAATCAATTATACTGGGCTTCCTTTTGTTTATCCTGTTGGAATTTTTTTCTCAAATCTTCCATTAGAATTTCACACTTCGTAACTGGGTTAATGAAATTACCACACTCAACTGGCGCTTTTGTGTACTTAAAAAGTACTAATTGCACATTATTAATAATTTTCTCACTGGCTGCAAATATTTTGTTAACGTTAAAAAATGGAATTTTTCACAATTGGCAATGAGGACAGTGGGCACTTGTAGTTTTATTGCTGTAACCAGAATGTTAAATGGGCTTTACAACTATTTTAATGATGGGAATTTTAGCGCAGTTATGTTATAAGGTTTTCGTTCATTATTTTCAATTGTTTGGATTACTTTGAATCAAAATAATAAAGAGATGACTGGTATTTGGTGTCAAATAAGGTCCAAAACAGATGACTACAGTGTAGAACATGTTCCTTAAACATATTATACACATAAAACCTTCCTATTAAGCAGCTTTTCATTTTGTTACCTGACAGTAATTCAGGGTTGATGTTAGAACTGTTTAAATATACTTAAGATGCAAATGTTAACTGGTTTTAGGATTAAGTGAACTAGTGTGGATCTTGAAAAAAATAATTCTAATTGATAAAAATGTGATGTTGTTTGATACAAGAAGCTTTCCCTCGTGATGGCAGAGCCCTGCATCTCCCTTATGAGCTATAGAAGTACTCAGCTAATGCTTTATAATTCTATTGTACATGAGGGAGTCTCAAGACAATACTTAGGAAAGAGAGAGAGCTCCCACTAGCAAATGTTGCCGTAATATTATAATGTATAAGTACTTCACATGTGCTTCAGCTGCAGCCATCAATTCTTCTTTTGAATTTTTTTTTCTGTGGACCTAATCTTATTTCCTGGGAATCTGTATTTCTATATGACCTGGTAACTGCAGTGGTGGAGACCTAAATTCTGATTTAGAGAATCTGAATTTGAACCTTGTCTGATGTCTAAATTTTATTGGTTCTGAGCTGTGATCATGGTTTTACAGATTCCATTTCAGTAGAAAAGAATGGGTGAGACTTGCTATTCTGGTCAATAACACTTGACCCTATCCTCTCTAACCCCAAACTACTTGGAAGGTTGCCAAAAGAAAGCAGCATTCAGGTAGAAAAGTTGTGAAAGTCAATAGAATAAAATTTTTATATGCCGGTATAATATTCAATAGTAACAAATTAAAGTAACAAATATAACCCCTGCACTCCCCACATCAGCATGGCTGAGATTTGCAAATCAGTGATATGTGTCATTCTATCAGTGAGGTAAATGTAGTGCTACAACAGCCGGTTATTACTCTCTGGTTTGCTTATAGTATACTGAGGACCCATGCTATAATGAAAGCACAGTAGATTTCTAGCGCTGATTGGCTGACTTCTTCACTTTACGTGCATATAATTATTATTATAATGTGCAGGAAGCACTGCTGATGTTGCGTCCTGCAAGCTGTGCATGAACCCTATACACAGAATCCGCCAAACAGTGACATCACTTCCTATGCACGAGAAAGAATTGATGTCAGCAGCAACACGATACCCTGAAAATGGTGATCATTCAGAATTTATGGGCCCAAACCACCACAAATGTTAAAATGGGGTTGTCTTGTAAAACTGTTTTTATAATTACCAATGCATAGAAAACTCATAAAATGCACTGATTGCAAAGATGGCAGCAGACTAGCATTTCCATTTTATTCCCTCTCCTCTTCTGAAGGCATTCAGATCTATTTTTCTTCTCCTGGGGTATACGCCTAAACATCCCTGGTACCCTCTGGTACTGCGAACAAATGCAATTGCCCTGTGCGATCCTGACAGCAAGTGTTAGTAGGCTATTGCATTTCAGGCAATCTTACAAGAGATGAGCTCAATCCTGTTCTCAACCAACATTCACTTGTAAAACAGGGATAATAAGAAAGTGATCAAGAGTTGAAATTCTGGCTATGTTTCACTCCTAACCTGGAAGCTAAATTCAATTGTTGTACATTTACTGCAGTACATTTACTGGCTGAGATCACAGGGTTCAGATGAAGAAGGCCCTTTTGATCTCATCCTTCCAAATTACCTATTCAACAATATTCCCATCAAGCATCAATAAACCGACTTAGCACATACCAGGGATCAAGCCTAGGGATTTCCCTGGTATGGGTATAAAATAGCATTCTGTATGGGGATAAAATGATTTGCTAAGACATCAGGGAGCTCATTGTTACATATTAGTGCTTGTTATCAAATAGGAATTGCTTCCTCGCTGACAAGAAATTCCTGATAATACTCGGCTTTCAACACAAGTCATTCCTGTCAGTGGGTTACTTTCAGAATCCTTCTATAGTAAAGATGCAAAACCCTGGATTTGCATTATTTCCAATACCAGTCAAGGATTGGTGATATTGTAATCCTTTTCATTGATTGTCATAATAATAATCCTTGCATTTGATATAATGCTTTATCACGTCTTCGAGACGTCTCAAAGCGCTTCACAGAATATACTGTAAAGTGAATTGACTGTATATTTTGTGGGCAAAATGTGGCAACCAATTGTGCAAAGCAGTGTCCCACAAACAGTCGTGGATTGAAGTGACCAATTTTTATTATTATAATTTTTTTTGAAGGAATTATTACCCCCAGAAAAGCGATCTGTCAATTGACTGACAACCGGGTTCCTACTTACTGCCAGGTAAACAGAGGCGTGTGGACTAAGGAAACTTGCCTAACATTTCACCCTGCCGGGAATTGAACCCAGGTCTCTTGCTTGCGAGGCGAGTGCTCTAAGAACTCCACTGAATTGGGGTGGAGTCCACTTTGTTAATTACATAATTGGGGTACCTGTAATTCCCTCTTTACACATGTGTTTACACATGGTTAGCACAACCGACAAATTAGACCCCAGCAAGTATCATCTTCATAGTAATACTATTCCTGCTGAATTTGATGAATGCTTTCTTTTTATAAATTATACATTACTATTCAAATATATAATTCCCAGCGGCCTAAAAAACTGTCCAGTAAAAGTGATGTCCAATTGTAAGAGGGATTGATTTTGTTTGTAGAATATAAAGTTTGATAATTTCGGCTTTTATTAAGCATTATAATATTTTACTCTTTTACAATGCTCACTGACAAACCACAATGTCTAGCTAAATGAAAACATGCATAAAGCATCTTCTTTATCATATGTTGATTGTCTAATTTTCTTGCAAAGGAGAAAAGCTACTGCATGTTCCAATACAAAGTTTAAATAAAAGAATAATCTGGTAAGACCAATGTATCAAATTCCCGCTTCCTCATCTACACCTCTTCCATATCTATTTCGAACCGGAAAGAATCAGCAAATATGTATGCCTACAAATGCACAGACCCAATATTTGTTTCATAGCTAAGGACCTAATTTTAAAAAAATCAAGCACCCACCTTCTGTGCCATTTGGTGTCATGGAATTATTATTGATACATGAGTTGTCAAGTTTTGGACCATTGGGAGATTCACTGCTTCCACTTACTGGACTGTGTGGGTTTGCTGGATCTTGCATTTCCATAGACCTACAAATAGAAGATAACCCTTACTTTTTCCACATATTTAAATCATCTGTCCTGAGAAAGTTCAATCAGATGTGGACTAGCTTTGAGAATTAATTACATTTAATGAATAGAAATATATATTAATTGACTTTCATGATAATAAATCAAAGAAATGAAACACAATTTTGTAATGAATTATATACAGTATATAAACCATTTCTTTTGAGAATGTAATGGTGAATCGTGCACAAATTAGAGGGGAAGAATGACATTTTACTGGATGGTAAAGTTACCACCCTCAGCAGTGTATCATGATATTGAGTTTCCTATTATAAGCAAGAGTTGCCAAGATCAGTAACTTTACCAACTAGCAAAAAGTCACCCTGCAAAAGTCTATATTTCGCACTATAAAATATACTTGCATGAAGACTACAGATGATGAATTGAAACATTGGTTTAACTGAAGATCCGGTAATTAAGTACAGTACAAAGTACTGTACGTTACAAAGTATTCTACAAAGTCAAAACATTTTTTATTGGTTTACAGTTGTGTGTACAGCTACTGAAATATGTTTCTTTTGGTAACGTCAGTAATATAATACAAGTGACTTAAACATGCATTTATCAAGAACCATATTATATTATTCCAAATACCACTCAGCGTCAAACAATATTCAAAACATATTGCAGTTAAACTGTGGCATTGGGATTTGTTACTAAGGATTCTAATTTACAAATGAGTATTTCTTCTGAATAATGGTCCATGGGAACCCTACTCCTCTGCAATCCACTTTTGAAGTGTAGTTCCTGTGGTTCTATTTAAAATATAAAATATTAAAATGCTTATGTTGTTCTATATTGTCATACTATGCTATAAAATTATTTGACATGTAACTTTAGAAAGTCATATGGCCTCATATTAGTATTATAGAAATGGTGAATATGTTATTTTTACACAAAGCTTTCCTAAAGTACAAAGAAAATGTCTGTGTAAATTTATTGTGAATTGGTCCTCCAACTTTATCTATCACCATAAATAGTTACAGAAATAGAGTATTGTATATGCTTGATTGATGGGGAATTGAGGTTCTCTTGATGCATTTGTTTATACTGGCAGGCTGCTTAACTGTTTCTTAGCTTCCTTTCCAGCAAGCAATACATTAAAACTTTATTATGCCCCCTGATTTGTTTACTTATTCAATTATATTAAGCACACCCAATTGAAAAGGGATAAGCTATACACTCACTCGGTATGTATATGAATTAGTCTGCTATAGGAATATGAAGTACTTGAGTTACCATTTGATTTCAAAAAGCCGAGAGGAATAAACAAAATTTACTGTCTATTTGATTTATGATTCAGTTCACTTTTCATATACAATTTAAGTATTTGATCAGCTTGATCTATGAGGGAAGGTCTGGTTATTTCACTTCATGTCCTTTGTGGTACTGAAGAACTAATATCAATAACAAACTGTAGGATCAAAGATCAAAATGATACATTAGATCCAGAGTAAGTTCCAAATGCTAATTGTTCACAATGCGATAGGTAACGCAAAAGAAAATGCATGAGTTACTTCTCACAGTGATTAATCTGCAGTGCTAAAATATGAAAAATGTAAAAATATGTTACACAGGATATTTGAAATTAATTTGAGAACTGCCATTGTTGGGATTCTGACTCAATTTTTTAAAACTTTAAATTTACAGACTGTGCATTGAAATACACTAAAGATCAGAATGTAAAAACAAATGGTAACCATTTACACAGCACAGTGTTGTTAATGCTTTGTTGTACTCAGAACTATAGGAATTATGCTGGAATACACATTTTAGTGTTTTGTGTACTGACTTACTGACGAGGTGTCTTTCTGAAATTGTTCTTTACAGTAGTAGTTCATAAGTGAACTTCAGAGAAAGCATTACATACACACTATGCAGTCTGCTCAGCAAAATATCAACAGACTTCTTACCTGGAACTTGGGGGATCTAAACCATCGGAATTAGGGCGAGCTTTTTTCACCTGCCAGTCAAGAACAAAACAGCTCCCTGTTACTCAAGTGTCACAGTATTCCAAAACAATAGTTTACTTGAAAAAATAACCGTTTATCAGAAAGAAAGGCAGCACAACAGAGAGACACATTGTCTTTTGGTTAGTCTCTTCTGCTGTTTCCTCCTCCAGGTCTTCTCTCCTCCCTAAGTCAGGGAAAGCAGCCAAATGATGGGAAGGTGATTCATCACTGTGCTAGACAGCTGCAAACTGGATTAACCCTCCCCCCAATCACCATGCAAAGCAGTTTAGCCAAGGTAAAAAAACTCCCTGAAAGGTAATTATTCGAAAAGGGTCTTGTTAAACAGAAGCAAATAAAGCATTGCACCTCCAGCATTGTCAGAGCATCTTTTATGTTCTATTAACCTTCTGAAATATATGTGTCCTCTAGCTCCACAAATGATTACCATTATTTTAATTTACCTAACCATTTTCAGTATACATTCAGTATACACTCAGTTCACTTCACATAATTAAATCAAGCTCTGTTGTAATGGAGAGTAAATCAAACTGTTGTAACTGTGAACTCATCGTTGAAATAGCATTTCAAGAAGGTTGCAAAATCTTTACAACTCAATTTGAGAATATTTCCAAAGTTATGTTTGCTAGACAAAAATTGTAGCATTCAGGAACAAGGTAAAATACCATCTTATTGAAAAAATTGGAATAAAACTTCAACACCTTTTAGTATTTTTCAAAATAAAATTTGAACTATATTTATTCACAGATTAAAAATCTACTTTTTTTCTTGAAAACATCTGATTTATGTGCAATCTATAAGACTGAAGGATGAAATGAAGTAACTATGATTTCTCCGAGAATGTGAATGCATTATAGAACAGCAATACATATTGTCTTGACATTTAATACTTCCTACAAAAACATAAAAACTCAATATATGACAATCCAATAGATTCTTTTGACACAAGTTTCTGGGCTTCACTAACAATTTCACTAACAAATGAATCCACGTTCTGTCACTCACAACAGCAGTAAAAAGTGTGTGTTCTACACCCAGTGACTCCGGTCTTTCTACTATAATAACTAATACAAATTGCCAGCAGGTGATACGGTTCAGGTGAGTAGAATTTGTTGGCTTTAAAGTACAAACAAATCTATCTCTTGCTAACAGTATATTGTCTAAAAAGCCTGCGTTCAGCATCTTTGATGTGCATTTCAATTCAACCTGAACCCAACATCTCTTTGATGTTTCCAGAACAAAGTCACAAAAGATGAGGCATTCCAAGTGCCATCAAATTCAACAAGGCAACTCTCAGGCATTCCTGTTTATACTGAATTTGGTACTGTTTTACTGTGTTCATTAGTTTTACTTTTAAATTGTTTCAAGAGTGACATTTCATTGTTAAGCTCCATGCATAATAAAAAAGATTTTAGCCGGTCATTTAATTAGAATCCATAAATTACTCCAGAAACATACTTATTGACATGAACCAAGGATTTTATTTGTTCATAATGGTATATTCCAATCTGCTCTTATCTTTCTTATAACAAATTGGATTCTACTTGCAAAACAGTTTAAACATTTAAACTGATGAGATAAATCATCTCAAAGAATAGCGAATTAACTACTACAGATATAATGTTGTTTATTATATTTTAATAAGGAATAAGAAGATATTAAAACTATACCTGTTGTTATGAATCTAGTAATAGCAATATGTTGAAAGGTTGAAACAACACAAGAAGTCTGCTCTACCATAGAACTACCAGTATGCTTGATTCTTTATTTAGCAACTTAATTATTTTTCTAAATACATTGAGATTGTTCTTGGTCAGCACTGGTGTTTGTGCTATTATTTGTACATATCTAATTAGGATAAATGCACTTAATTAAATAGAATGACCAACAACAGCAAGTAAGTACTGCATAAAATATTTTAAACAATTTACAAAAAAAACTTTGGTTGTAAATAACCAATTTTTATTCCTGTCAACACCTACTTATATTTAATATGTTCCCTGTTTTTTTCTGAACGCTAAATTTTCCTGTAAGTTTCACAATGACAAGGTTTATTGTGTTCATATTCAAAGCTCATTTTTTTCTGCATTCCTTATTTTACAGTGGACTAAAAGTTCCATATTCTAAGAAATTTGCACTGTGCTGATGCAGCATTCCCGTTCCACTGTTCCCATTTCCCAATAGTTTTCAGAGTCTGCTCCTAGCAAACACATTTCTGCATAGGAATCTGGTTAGTATTTGTTGCACTCTATGCAAATTAGAAAATGTTTCACAAATTATGTCAAAGTTTTAATTAAAATATGTAGGAAGGTAATTTTACTTGCATATATTAAGAATGCACTGTACTATTTTGTAAGTTTTATTATGTACATCTACCGTTTTGATTCCACTGTTTCCCTATTCAAAATATGATTAAATGAAAATTTACGAAAGGGGTTTTAAAAAAAAACTTAGAATAGTTTTGAATATCCACAGTGGCCCAGGAAATAAGTATACCAGCAAAGAATTCAATTTAAAAGAATGATTAGCTGCAGATGTTAAAGGATTAGCCGAAGTTTACTATTTTACTCCAGTTTTGTTGTACACGCACTACAAAATGATAACTGTTAATATTTAAATACTTAGAATTCAGAATATTTATAGTACCTGTATAAAAAGCATAATGGCCTATCCTGCTACTTAAAGGAATAAATATTTGTCTCCTTTATTGTTTTCATTTAAATAGCACTCACTCATTCAAGGTCTGCTTACAGTCACAAGTGCTTATTTCTGCTTTTTACCTTTTTATCGTTATTCTGATTAACTTTAGATATTTGGTTTCATATAGAAAGTTCATTACATACAAAAGATATTACATAGATATATGAATAAAATAATCTTATAAGTTCATTTTAAATTAGATGTTTTAACTTGCATATTGAACAAAATGTAAACATATGCCAGAATAATGCGACTAGATAACACTGATGTCATAAAAATAATTCTATCTATTTGCACTAGGATTTTTACTAAATTTTCCTTCTAACTGGAAGCCTATGCTATCAGAGAAAAAACCCAAATGTATTCATTATTAGCTAAAAATTTTGTACTCTGCTACAAAAATAGTCAGCGCTTAATGAGAGATTATATACAATATATAAATGTTTTATTGACAATTAATTAGGCAGTTACATTTATTTGAATTAAAGGTTCAATTCTCTTTAAATAGTAATTTGCTGTGAAGATCCACAGGTACATAAATGTTCAATTTGTTTCTCTTGTTTTGTTCAATCTGACATACTGCTTTAGCCTTCCACTGAATTGCTACATTAAATCTGTTAACGCTGTGCTCTTCAACCTCAGAAATTATTTCCAGAAGGGAAACTCTCTTTGAGACATGATGAAACAAGGCTTAAAGTACACATTTTATCACATTTTCCCTACCGCAGAGCCAGACATAAATGAAAATCCATGACTTCGATCCCCCTTTTAAAGTTTTAAAAACGAGTATTATCAGTTTGGTAAGCTGCAACCCAAACCTGAAATACTTATGTTTCAGATTAAAAATAAACAGAGCAGGTTTTCAGAATCTGCCCTTATATTTGTTTAATTAATAGGGCTTTTAAAATTCCATTGAATTATTGCTGAAATACACCTTGTTCAAGTACAGGAAATTCACACGAGCGCACCAGCACACCAATAATCAACTTTACCATTTAGTCTTTGAATTTACAAAATTATATAAAGGTTAATAATTCTGAAAACCAAGATAATAAACTTTTAACTGAACACAAACAGATTTTAAAATATTTTTCATCAGTTTCAAAATAGTTTAGGAATCTAAACAGAAGGAGCAAATTAATTCTAACCCTTGGCAGCGGTCAGGGCACCACAGGGTGCTAGCACCTCTTCATATCCAGCTGCCAGTAATTTTTTTACTCCGACTCTAAAGCAGTTATTTTTTCTGTGACAATAACATAAGGATCCCACAATCCCTGATACCTGTTAGCTAAGGCAAAATCTAACACAAGTCTGAAATTGATGGAGTTCTGGGGAGACCACCTCACAGACAAAGTAGAAGCACATATCATAGATGACAGCTACTTTTCCCCTAATTATCACATTTTATGGGACTAATGCTTTTAGCTAGTTACCTTTTCCCAATAATAGGGTATCTAATTCACATCACTAAAGATATCACACAACCTCAAAGTGCCAGACACAAACAGATGAACCAACAGTAGGGTAACAAATTGCATTTTCACATGCATTTTGGTGCTCTTGGCAAGCTCTCTTTTCAAATAAATGAAATGGTATTTTTAAAATAAAAATACAGTATTTAAATATCTTTTACTTTAATTTGTTTAGTATATTTAATATAGATTACATATTTTCTTAGCTTAATAAGTGTGCCTATTTTCTTCAAAATACTTCACCTCTCCCTTGTAACCCAAAAAACATTTGCTTTAATTGTATTTTACCTCCCTTTTATATAAAATCTAGTTTAGCCCATTCAAAGCTTCAGTGCCTCTCATTGTGCAAAGATTTGAGCCTAGAAACAGTGATAAACACAGTTTTCCCTTTTAGAAAATGTGCTACCACTGATATTGAATGGTTTGTCAACAGAAGCTGAATTCATCCAAATAACAGTTCAACTCAACAAATGTAAATGTAACAAATAAAGAGTTTCATTTAACAACAGAAAGGGCATTTATGACCGAATTCAAAGAAGCTGAAGAAAAAGTATAAAATCCTGAGCAAACTGTTCGATTTTAAACTGCATAAATGAAAATAATTGTTGCACATAAAGTATACGTAGATTTTAAAATTATTTCACCACACAGCTTAAAAGACTAATTTACACACAAATAAATACACCTTTAAAAAACTACTTAACTCTGTAAATCAGTTTTATTTTTAACCATTTTAAACACACATCTAACATAAGCGCTTACCAATAAATGTCAACTGTTTAAATTTGTAGATTCTGTTTACTCTGCTGGTCCGAAATAGGCTCCTATGGGGATCAGAATGTTTTGCTTGGTTCAAGGAAAATTTAAACTTATTAAGAGAAGGGATTTCCTGGTTCAACAAGTATCGTCAAATATCCTTAGATTGCAATTCACTATGCACTATTCAAATTAAATAGATTTTATCTAAATATTCTTGTATATTTAATTGAATATATACAAAAGAAACATATTATTCATTACATTTAACTCCCTTAATTAGTTGAATAATCGTAAATAAAAACAACAGACATCCCATCTAAAGTCACTGTGTGAAAATAATAATTCCCCCCGCCAAAAATATGATGACCTAATACATTTTCTAAAACAAATTCACAAATGTTAACAGAAACTCCACTGCAGCTTAATTTTATGGAACAATAAAAATTGCAGGCATTCTCAAAGTCTATGTTATATTGAGCCAGTATTTGTACAGATTTATAATTATAGCCACTTTATATTTATAGTAATTTATTGTGGCACTGCGTATAATGATTCAAACTTTATTATTTTATGAAAGCTACAACATCTAAGAGTTTCTATAAACTAGGCCCTTATTTACTAAATCCCCAGGGTAAATGTATGACTGATGCCTCAGCCTCAGAGAGCCGGACAACTACTGGCGGTCCAATGCGCCTTTCCATACAATTTAACAGATACAATCTTGTACTCACAGCACTTGAAAATGCAGATCCTCTCGAAACTTGTCTGGATTTTCTTCACGTTTTTTTGCATTCAATTGATCATCATTTCTTATTATAATCCTTTCCTGATCAACACCAGCAACTGTCTGTTTCAGGCAAATAACATAGCAGGACTTGTGGAGGATGAAACAGAGATGTGAATGCAGTCCAATCACCACTGCCGACTAACTGCAGAATGTCTGAGGAAAGCAGCTCCCACAAAGAAAAAAGGCCACAGTGGACTTTGACAGGAAGACTTAGAATCGGATATGACACTAGACTGCACCTACTAGCAAACTGAAGCACCAACTCTCTTATGCGTCGCAAAGTCACTGCTCTAAGCAATATACCTTTCCCATTAAACTGCAGCAGATAATATCAGTGATCCATAGACAAAGAAATGGCAGAACCTTCATCCGTCCTATTTGTTTGCTCAATCTTGTGGTTCTGCCCAAGCAGCCTGAGGGCTTTTTGTTTTTGTAATGCAAACCACAGTTTTTTTCTTGCATCCAGCCCTACTGGTTTAAATGCCACAATGGAAATAAGCAGTGTGCTGTCCGAATCCTCTTTCGTACCTTAAATAAATTCATTATGTAAATGAGCAAATCCACAGTTTCTCAACAAACAGCTGGGTGTCTGACCTAATTCAAGCACTCCATCAACAGGCAGCAAGCACATATTTCTTTAGCTGCTACTACTTTGATCTAAGAGCTACTACCAATCCACACACCTAGATATTTGCTGTATTCATTGCAGCACAACAGTTGGTAATGACATTCTCAGAGGCTTCCATAACATGTAAAATACCTTATCTACGAAAACTAAACATATAAAACAAACAAAACCTATGCTTGAGACATTAAGCAAAGAATTTAGACTTGTCTAGCGTTTACTACAGCCTCTGTCATAACATTAACATTTTGAAAGCCACAAATATATTTTCATTGTACCAGCTTTCCACAAAATAGAATAAGAAGGCTTCATGTAAAATCTATCTTTAAGAAGTTTTAATTGTTAGCTAAACCTATTTAGCATTTTTGTGCAGTGTTAAATTGATAAACAATCAGCAATTAAGCAATTAATAAGGATTACCATATAATTTTTGTTAAACGTATTTCTTGATCTATTATATTTTTCATCATAATTTTGAAAAGTGAAAAAAAGTAATGAATTTAATTAAAACTAAACTAAAACAAAACATTTTATTTAAAAACTGCCAGCTTTCAATGCATTGACTTCCATTCATATAAATAATATAGGTTTCAATAAAAGAATATAGTTTTGGAAAAAACTAATCTGTAAACCCAAGAGTTTTGTAATTATTGCACATGGCATCAAGGTTTATTTTATTCACTAACAACTTATATTTGAACATATATATATCACCTTGTGAATTCACATATTTTGAACCTATCTTTTTTATGGGATTTCTGCTTCAAAAACTAGTTTTAACATTTTATAAAATATCCTTGTTTATTTTCTTTGCTTTCACCCATTTAATAAATCCATTAAATAAGGAAACAACAACTTCCATGTGCATTATTAATATATACCTTAGTGCAAGATGTGTTTTGTTTTTCTCAGTAAACCTCCATAGGTCAGACTGCAAACGCAACTTGTACTGTCACAATATTTCTACTGTACGTTGTTGATACTAAAGTGCTATGAATAGACTGAAAAATAAGATGACTCACGAACAATTTTGAAACTTAATACTTATACAATCTGCTTACATGTTTATCTACATCTACAGATACATATGAAACAAAATAAAGTCTAATATAGATATATAGTTTTTTTTAAAAAATATGTATTTCACATATAAATTGCAGAAAATCACTTAGTATAGAGATCTGCCAAACAGTCCTTTACTTCTTACCTTTTATACAACTCATCAATACTCTAAAGAGATCTAAAGTGGAAATATTGTCACACTCTATGCCCAGTTCCTTCCAGTGTACAATGTGACACTCGCCTCTTTGCAGTAGTTGAGTAAACACAGTGGAAATCAACCGGAGCTTCGAGTTGCACACACCTAATACTTCGTTTTGCTTCTGTGCAGCCAAGAACTCTGGGATAGTGACCTCCATATATGGGAACCACATTTACAAGCCTTGGCCACTGAAATGACAAGTCAAGGAGAGCACTTTTCATGACATCACGATCTGAACAACAGTCCACTATATTTATATACCACTCGATACAATATAATAATAATATTTAACATTTAACCATTCACGTCCTCCCGACGTGAAAAGCGCTATACCAAATGCAAGGATTATTATTATTATTATTATTATTTCTTGCAGTTTTTTTGTTAGTAGGATTTTCGTAAAAATTAAAAATCAAGTGCGACCAAGTCATATCACAAAAATGCTTACTGTGTTTTTAATGATTGCTGTGTTCCTGCGCAAAAATGTTGATGCAAAAATATGTAGATTGAGTAAGATTACAAGGAAAAGATTTTTTACAAAAACGTATTTTGTATTAAATAACATTACTAAGAATTGCATTTTAATTGTCAAATGAGACAACTGTAAAGCTCTGTCATCGTTTTAAATCAAACGACAATGAAGGAAAACAATTAAACTCTGAATTGTATGCCAAGCCAGGATTGTTAAGCACCTTGGGACTCCTCCCAACTTGAAAGGCACAATATAAATTATATTTGTATGGTATTGGAATTAAACCTGGAAATTGGTTTTGTTTCATTAATGTCCAGTTAGCAGCTAACACTAACAGAGAAACATCCACCTATTTTAATGTTCACTGTTCAAATCAATTTAATATATTCAGCAAGCACACAAATGCAAAAAAAATTGAAAGCCAAAATTATTTTTCCAAATTTTACCCTGGTAATTCAATCTGTAGAAGACAAAGTAACCAGGTCATGCCACATAAAGATAGAATTAGTGTCTATAAAAAAAATCTAACTCTACATTTTTCCCCAAGAGTTAACAGAATGAAGTATCTGAAGCATTTGCTTTCCAATAGCTATTTTAAAGTTTATGTAGCTCCACACTTGCTGAGGATTATGCTGCTCTTTCCCATTCACCGCCAAAACAGTACTGTCCAAAGCAGTTACCTAGATCAGAAATTTGAACTCTGATCTTAATATTAAAACAGCAACTTTTATGGATCAATCCAAAAGTTTAACAATTTAAATATTCTACCCTTAAATGACAATAATTTGAAAGGATTTATTCTTCAAACTTTTTCTATTCTGACTGTGTTGAAGAAATTGCAGCTATATAGCTGCATAATCCCAGAAGATTATCTGAGAAGAAATTTAGAAATACATACAAATACAGTATTTCCACAATGCAGTGCTGGGGATTATTTCTTCTAGCATATTATTTTTTGGCAAAAGAAAGGCTGGTGTAATTAGACATGTCAATATCGTGATATAGGAGAGGTATTAAGGAGGAGGGCGGGAGATTGAGATTAAAAACTCTGCTATGTGTTCTTTGGATGACTGGAGGTGTAAGGGCCCATTGATCTCCTCCTCTTTCCTGGGCTTGCCCACTATTTCAGGGGCCCGCTCCGTTTCCTTCTCTCACAGGTAATGGGAAGCAGTGAGTCAGTTTGCACATAGTGAGAAGTCAGCAGTTGAGAGCCAGAATGTGAAAAGTCAGAGAAAACATAGCAACTAAGGTGCACTCAAGTAACGTTTCACAAAGTGAATGTACCAGTTTTATTTTGGGGTTTGTCAGCAGAGACAACAGAGCAGATCACCTCAATTTTAGACTCAAGGAAGTCCACCATCTCTTCACATTTGGAGTTAGAGGAGAGGATGGGAAAGGCATAGTAATCCCATAGTCTGATCTGACAGAGCATTGGAATGCTGGGGGGTGTTGCATTGTCGGAGGTGCTGTCCTTCAAATAAAACGTTAAACAGAGGTCTTCTCTATCTCAAATTTAAGGATCATTATTGCTATTATTGCCGAGGTCACATGGAGAAATTCCCTTCACTTTTTAAATAATGCCATGGGTTGTATAATGTCCACCTGAATGTCTCATCCAAAGGACACCACCTCCAACAATGCATAACTCCTCCTCCATCATTGCACTGTGGAGTGTTAGTGTAGACTGGGTGAGTTTGAAGTCGTGATGTGGTGCTTGAACCCACAAACTACTTGTGATAAGATATAGAAAAAAAGGTAATGGTGAGTGCACCTGCAGGTTTGGCCTAAATGAGACATACATTTATGTTCTGCACATAGAGGAACATGCTCCTCATTTTATGTTCTTTCAAAACTGACACATTTGGTCCGTCTAAGATGTACTTCCAGAATGTTAGTCCCAAATGAAACAGCAGTAAAAGTATGTTTCGCTTAACGCAGTCAAAAGGGAAATAATTCACACAATAATATTATGCTGGGGCTTAAGTAAACAGTTAAACAAGTGGGTTTTAGTGGCATTACCAATTTTTTTTACATCTGAAAAATTTCCTATGGGATCCTATGAAATTTTGTATGTTATCAAAAAGGCACGTACGACTGAACTCTTAAAATTCTGTCATCATCCATTCTGCATCCTTGCAGAATTTTTAATCCTATGAGTTCATGTTCCAGTGTGGGACTTGAACCCACAAGATTCTGGCTCAAAACTTCATCCCCTCTGCTCCATCATCGGTGGCTGTGCCTTCAGCCATTATGCCCCAAAATCTCTACCTCAATCCCTCCCCCTTGCCCCTTCCCAACCTCACTTTCAAATCCCGCCTAAAATCCTTCCTTTTTGATTGTGCTTATGGTCACCTTCCCCCTCTCTCTCCTGCTGTCTAGTAACTAATTAAGTAATTAAATTCATTGCTGTTTGTGGACATTTCTGAGTGCAAATTGGATGCCATGTTTTGTCTACAAAATACACAGTTACTATACATTAAAGTAAAAATCCTGTGAAGTGCTTTGAGCCCCCCTGACATAAAAGGCATCTTGTATGAAATGCAAAGATCATCATATTCTTTTAAGTCGGAAATTGCATCATTTTACCTGAGACATCAAAGTTGAACATACATGGCTCTTTGGAACAGCATAGACAAGAGCAACAACTTGCATTTATATAGACTGTGTTGGTGGTGCACATTGCACATGTTAATAGAGATATATCCATCCACGAAATGTGAACATATATGATGAAAATATATAACAACATTTGTGTGCCTCATGTTGTGCCCCATCTCCCTCATTCCCCATTTCAGGGAAGATTTGCAATAATGTGGATTTGATAACAGTGACGTAAATACCATCATGTTCTGTTGACCACCTTACCTTTAAGCTCTCCTTCAACAAATGGGAAAGTTTGTCTTACCTGTAGGCAGAACAATTTGATGCCACTGGAGACACTGACCCAGTCTGTCACTTGGAGTCACTCCCTCCTTTGCCAAATTCAGCAATGTTCCAGTGGCATCAAATAGACAGTATTCTGGACTCCATAACACTCTCAACCATGACTATCTAGCTCTGGGAGGTTGGCAGTCTTTTGCTCACAGTTCCTCCCATTGGAATGTTTGCAGTTCCATTTCCCACTGAATTTAATGTTTAAATATGGCAGATGTGTTCAGATGGCAAGTATCACCTTGTTGTGCTAATTAAACTGGGGTTAAAACCACTTTTGAAGACACCACCTGATTGGCTTTGGTCTCGCAATCTGATTTTGACCTTGCTAGGGCTAACACTGAAAAATTGCAATTTTTATGTATTAACATTTTGATGGGGCAAAACATTGCAACTATATAGGTTCTGAATAAAATCACATAATGCATTGTCCTCTACATTGATTCAAAGCACTCAAATCTGCTCGGTAATACATCATATGACCCGAGGCATGACAAGATGCTTGAAAATAACAATATTAATAATCAGTGAAGAGAGATTTGCTGCTAAAGCAAATGTAACACTAGCCTATAATATCTTGTTTCATTAGATGCAGCATTTTCTTGGCAAGATGGAAATTCAGATTTTAATTTGCTAACTTCAGCATTTCAATACCTCCAAGTGGAAGGTTTTTTTTCATTCATCATTATCCTCCACTTCCTATTTCCAAGTTAGTCTTCTATCCAATTAATTTTGCATTGATTGCATGAGCCTTAAAACTTTCTTTGAATGGCTCATGTGAAACTTCAAACACCTCTGAATTCAAGCAAAAGTATCCTTAATGGTTTGTATAAAAAGCATAATGTTTGCCAATGTTATTTCTATCCTGCATCATATTATCCTTTCTCCATCCACTCAGATGGATACAATAACCAGAAAGATAGATTGTATGAAATGATTTAAAAATTCCAGTGCACTTCTGTCATTTATCATTTACTTTGCAACATATCACAAAAATGGAATAAACAGCCTGGATCAGAAAGCAATGCTACTCACCCCACCATCCGCTCACCATCTCCCCATTACACATTTCTTGGGTGTTTGCTATCTACCTTTCTTCTCATGATATTTTTTGCTAAAATGGATTATGCTTTGTAGTATGTTTTGTGTTTAGACAATATATAAGATGTTCTTTAAGTAAATGTAATGATAAGTATTATTGCTTTTCATAAAAGTCTATACAAACAGACTATGGTGTAGGGTATCAACATATGATTGTTTAATTTCTGGGATTTGGATTTACTATGATTACTGTGAAGTCCTTCGAGAAATTTAATGTAATAATCATTATATAAATCAAGTTCTTCCCAGAGAAAGCTTCCGCTTTTCTGTGTTCTGTAAAAGTCCCACTTGAAGAATTGGAATTCAACTCATAGTGCAAGAACAATCTTGGTCTTTGCAAAACTGAAATGTGTGTATGTGTGTGTGTGTGTGAGGGGGGAGGGAGGGGTGGCTGTGGCTGAACCTGAACACAGATTTTGGAAAAATTCCTGTTCTGCAGCAAAGACATCCCTCATCAGAAGGGTTTCGTTCTATTCCATATACCCCAGGGTCAGCCACAACCTCCAGGATAGTGGGTAAAAACGCTGTACGCAACTGTAAAGGTTAAACTGGACACTTTTAAGGCATGAATTTTTTATGTGTTTCACCTGACTAAATTTAGTCATTTAATTTATATTCTCCATC